CGCATGCGCGGAAGCGGCGAATCGCGACATGCACTGACGCGGGTTGCATTCGCTTCAGGATGCGGATGGGGCTCCAGAACGGATCCCATTCGCATCCAGAGGTACCACTGTATTTGACTCTTGTTGTTAATGAAAATACTTTGAACAAAGATTGAATTTTTAATTGTCATAATCCACCCTGGGTAGGCTGGTGAAGGTGTGGTAACAAATTTTATTACCATCCCTGACTTTTTCTTTTCAAAGGTAAAAGTCATGTCTGTTCCTCCTCCCCACTTTTCTTCAGGCCCCAACCACTGCTGCCAAGTGGCCCTTAGATGGTTGTGCCATGCAGCCTGCAGACAGAAAAAGCCTGAGAGGCAAGGAATTGGACTTAGAACCTTTCACATGCAAAGCATGTGCATTAACGCTGCCCCCCCCTGACCTTTTCACCAGAAAACCACATAATTTCACAGTACTAGCAATCCAGGGGATGCAGAACTCTAAGAGACTTTCATAACTGCATGCCACTCTGCTGCAGAAGGATCTTTGCTCTGCTGGCAGCAATTGTTTATGATCCTTTTGGTCAGAGAGGGCTGCATGACTTCAACCTGTTATTGTGCACGTTTCGAATGCAGGAACACCTGATCACCAGTGTCAGAGAGTGTTCCAAAAGGTGGGTTCAGAAGATAGTTCAGTACAATTAAATTAAATTTGTCTTTAAATCTGATTTAGGCAGGCACGGCTCTGTGAGAGAGATTACAGCTAATGTTTATTTGCCAGCCAGGGAAAGTTGTTGTTGTTTTTGGTTTTTTTACAAGCCCAAGAGGCTGCGAAATTGAAAAGTGCCTCCTAACAAATTAATTAGTCTGTAAGCATCCTTCAGCTTTTTATAGGTAACACATTAGACATGTGGGGAGGACAAAGGAGGAGGCTTCTCTGTAGCAGAATCCCTTTTTCCTTCTGACTCTTTGGAGACAATGACAGCAGCACACAGGTTCCTTGGGGGTGAATGCCGTTTGCTGCCAGCATTGGCCAAGGCCAATTAAGGATGATCAAAAGCTCCTTCCTAAAAATTCTAGCCTCCAGCTTGTTCATAATCAAATTAAACCATAAAAACTGCATTTAGCAGTCGATTTTCTGGTCCTTTGAGGTGCTGCTGCTGGAGTTGGGCAGATGTAATGTTCCCAGTCCCTTCACCCTGGGTCAGAGATTGGGACTGCAATCTCTACATGGTGGCAAACCATGAGCTCCTTGGAGAAAATGTGGTGTGTAAATGCAAGTAATTATTATTATTTGCTTGCATAAAGCTTATGCAGAGTATGCCTGGTTTTATTGATCACGTGTTCCGATTTGTTTGTCAGGAGGTTATATAACAGTGAGCATTCAGCCTGGTTTGTTTGTGCTGTGTTTATATACCTTCCTGTTATTCATTCATCCAGTGACGCCAAGGTTGCAGGTTCGATCCCTGTATGGGACAGCTACATATTCCTGTATTAGTGGGGGTTGAACTACATAATCCTCCGGGTCCCTTCCAACTCTACAATTCTCTGATTCTATCATCCACACTTTCAGAGCATTTCCCTGTCACTTTCCTAACTACAATTAGTCATGGTTTTTAAAAAGTGAATTTGTTGTGTTAGTATGACAGAGAACTTTAATACATTTTAATTACACAAATCAAAATCTTCAGTATTCCCTTGAATCCCCCCTGCAAAATATTGACAGCTGACCTTAAATACAGAGAGTAAAGCCAATAGAGCAAGTCCTATTAGTGGGACTTAATTCTCAGGAAACGTGCAGGGGTTTGTGCTAGGCAAGTATGTTGGCCATATGTCTCTCTTTGCATTGGACAAACCTATCTTTGAAGGCATCCTACTTTTCAGAATGAAAAGAAACCCCAACATTCCTGACCATTGGTCATGCTGGCTAGGGCTGATGGGAATTGTAGCCCAACAGTGTCTCAGGGTCATCAGCGTGGTACAGACAATACTGGGCAAGGTGGATCAATGGCTTGACTCAGAAGTTTCCTATGTCCCTGTGCACATTTGACAATCTGCCCAATGAGACGTTTTCAAGCATTATACCACCACATGGAGCCTCCACCACATAACAAAAACAAGAGCTTTGTGGCATCTTAACATATCTTAACATAAACATTATGGCATAAGCCTGCATATGACAAAGTGAACTAGCCCTGTAGAAGCTTGTGTCATAACAAAATTTCTTAGCCGTTCTCTGTTGTTTATTCTGCAACCCACTCACATAGCCTGCCTCTTTGGAATTCGTTATGCAGACACATTTCCAGTATGGCTGTCATTGTGTTTGAATTGTAGCATTGTAGTCCATTCTGTTGTTCTTGAGTTACACAAAATGCAGCCATCCTCCCATCTGATTGAAATGCCAGGCCCCTCGCTGAATGATGATTTAATAAGTTCCATGAGCAATCCTGGCCGTCACAGCAAATTTCAGCAATGGAGTGGTGTGAATCAGCAATGGAGAAGCAAAACACACCAAAGAGCTTTCATTTCCAGGCCAGGTTCTCAGCCTTAGTTGCTGGAAGGATCTTTCTTTTTCCTCCCACGATTTCTCCTTTCTGAACAAGCTCAATATTTATTGGCTATGTGGATGCAAAGTGAGCTAATAGGTTAACACCCTTCAGTTAAGAAGAAACACTCATCAATAGTGCCTGTTTTTTGTTTTTTAAAAAAGACAAATAAAAATTCCAGATTTTATTTTTTAATTTAAAAACAAGCACTTACAAAACCTGTGAGTAGCAGGCAATGGCCTCATTTGGATGTAGCAGTAAATTATGATTTAGTATTAAATAGGTTTGCGATATTTTGAAGAGCAAAAGGGGGACACATTTTCTGTGACACATTTGTAGGTGGGCTGGGGGGGAATAGTAGTAATAAGATAAAAGGTGTACTGAAATATTTAATAATGGTAATAAAAATGAAAATGGAGAGTGATAAATAAGAGATGTCAGTTAAAGTGGAGTAGAAAGAGAATGGGAGATATAGTTAAAAGAAGAAGAGGATTCCCCCTCCCCCCAGAAATGGAAGAAAAGGGGGGAAATGATTAAAAATACAAAAACAAACCAAAAATAGGGAGGATTTTTAAAAAAATATATATATATGTAAGGATGAGGATGGTACTGCTGCATCCAGAAGTTGGAGCAATTACTGAGGCAGCATCCTTGAGGGCTCAGGCTTTCCCCATGGGTGCTGGCATATTCAGTCTCCTCTGCACTTGCCCACCAAAATGTAATAATAATAATAATAATAATAATAATAATAATAATAATAGAAATGTACCAAACCAAGCAACTGAAGGCAAAACAAAACAAATTACTGATTGGGGGGGGGGGGTCCTGATCCGTAGTAGCAGGCAGCTGTGGTCCTGGGGCAAGCAGTGCCAGGAGCCACTGCGCTCTCTCCCCAGAACCTCGCCGGTCTCATTTTTCAGCCTCAACTTTCTTGTGGCGGGTTGGCTCTCTCCAGCAGCACAACCATTATGTCCCTCACACACCTTCACAGATTACTGGGCTTGAAGCATGTTGGGGACTCGTGCTCCACATTGCCACGCAGGAGCACCCTAGGGATATGGCTAGGGCTTCCCTGCATACCCAAGCCCCACTAGAGCAAGCCCGTTCCCAGCCGGGAAAGCCCTTTCCCCTGTGCTGCTCCTGCTCCTCCATGCCCTGGTGCCAGTCATGCTTCTCCGGCTGCTCCTGTTCGTCCTGCTTGGTCTGGGCCAGGCACCGTGGCCGGGAGGTGTCTCAATAGCCTGGGGAGCCTTGGCGGTGCACAGTGGTAGCAGCCATTTGGAGGAGGAGGAGGAGGAGAGGCCACAGGTGCAGGTCTAGGAAGGAGACCCGTGGTGCCCATACAGTGGTACCTCGGGTTACAGACGCTTCAGGTTACAGACTCCGCTTACCCAGAAATAGTACCTCAGGTTAAGAACTTTGCTTCAGGATGAGAAGAGAAATCACGCAGCAGCAGCGCGGTGGCAGCAGGAGGCCCCATTAGCTAAAGTGGTGCTTCAGGTTAAGAACAGTTTCAGGTTAAGAACAGACCTTCAGAACAAATTAAGTTCTTAACCTGAGGTACCACTGTATAAGGTGCTGAGCAAAGGCCCCAGTGACAAAGGAATGGCGGGGGTGCAGAGCGGAAATCCTGCTTCTGCAGCCCTGTGCACTGTGCAGCTGCAAAGCACACTGCTTACCTGGGTGTGCCCTGCTGGCCATTGTGCTCCTCAATGGCAGCATCCTTCTGGAGTGGGGCTGGCCTCCCCTGCTGGCAAAGGGAGAAGAAGACAATGAGGGCCATAAGGTTCCTGCCTCCGCTGCTGAATTTGGCCTGCTACCAAACCAAAAAACCCCAGACATTTTGCCAAGTTTTAAAAATCCTCCTGGACACAAATTTTACTCCTGAAAAAGAGGACGTGTCCAGTGAAAATGTGACATATGGCAATTACATGACTAGGCCACATGCTCCTCCTTTCCACTCTCTTCCCTTGAAGGAGGGCTCCAGTGGGTTGGGGTGGTCTATGCTGTAGTTGAGGCAACCTGACAGTGAGGGTCCTGGGGATGATCCAAGCATGGGGTTTTCCCCTCAACCCACTCTCCAACTCACCCATCTCTGCAACAACAGCCGTGACCTCTGCCACCCTTGCCTCCCTCTCTACAACTATTGGAGCAATCCTTGACACTTCCATGGTGCCTCATGTACCAGCTTCCGCAGCACAGTCAGACACTAGGAGGAGCCCTATCCAGAGGGGGGGGGGGATGCCCTGTCCAGCACTCAGGGGGCAGAGACCCCCTCCTGTCTAGATGCAAGAGGCTCCTATACCAAGCATAGTGATGGATTGCAGAAATGCTTGCTGCGCTAAGTTCAGTCCGCCCTGTTCCTTTATATAGGATAGCAAGGGTATGTGTCATTGTTGGATCAACGTCTAAGCCTTGGGAGCTAATTCACTTGCCTTTGTGTAGCTGAACCTTGGATTAATTATGTGCATTCCCTGTTGTGCCTTAACCAGCGATTTGCATATGTATTGTAGGAATCTGGATATTAAAGCCTTTGAAAAGAATCCTCCTTCAAGCTCTTGTTTTTCAGCAACTGGGAGCCAGGTGTCAGAGGCAGTTGCCAGGGTCAGGTAAGTAATAACTCAAAAGGTGCCGGTGAAGTTAACTCTTTATTCAAAGAAACAAAACAGCTCAAGCCTAATGAGCCTAGTAACTTTCCACAGTGAGGCAGTTGCAAGGACTGAAGGTCCCCACCTTCCCACAGTTCCCTAAATCTCCTTCCTGGATCCTTCTCAAGCAGCCCGAGTCTCCTCCTTCTTGCCTCTCTTTCATCCGTTCTCTTCATTCCTTTTCATGCTCTGGGAGACCAGGATGGTTGCAGCTGGAGGGGGAGACCCTCTGGCTTCTTCAACAGCTTACCTGATCTCTGCCTTGTGCCCCCTCCCTCCTCTAGCCTCCACATCTGCCTCTGCTTTTAGATTGCTCTCTGCCCCAGTCTCTTCCTGTTCACTAAGCCCTGTTGCCTCTTTAGCTTCTGACACATCCTCCCAATCTTCTCCCTCTGACCACTCATTGTCATCCCACCAGTAATCCCCTGGCTTCCTCCCTTGTGGGTTACCCAGCTGGTGCCTCCCACCATGCTTCTGCATCCAGCCAGTCCATGGCCCTAGGATAGTAGCCTTCGTCCCACTTCATGTTTTAAGCCATCCCCAATTCCCAAAGTGGCAAAAAGCTCTAGGTGCCACATTGCATTGCGCTTTAGAGTTGTAGTGTCATCATGCATTTTATTTTGTTTATTTGTTTTTATGAACAAAATTTGTACACTGCTGAATTGTAACTAAAACCCATAACCTACGTGCATGTGTACAAGAGATAACGGGAGTAAAGGTCCTAAAAAGTGTGGGCAAGGCACAAGAGTGCATGGTTTGCCTCCCCATGATCAAGAGGGGCTAAAAGAGGCAAGTGTAATGGCAACTTCCATGTAGGAGAAGTCTCAAGTGGCGTGCGCAAATTCCGTTGAAGGTACATAAGCATAGGGGTCACAGTCCTACTGTTGCTTCAACTGCTCTGTGAGGACACAAACGAGGGAGAGTTAATGCCTGCTACGTAGTTCCTAGAAGTGTGTGGCAGTGTGTATTCAGTGCTTAGGAGCTGCTGTGTGTGCTTTTGTCAACAAGAATAACTATCTGTCGTTTGCCCTCCTTGACTGGATGTGAGCAGGACACTCCACTGCCCCTTGGGGAAACATAAACACCACCAACAAAAACATTTCAATAAACCATTATGCTATCCTGGGAGATATATGTTTATCACTCCTTCTGATAGCGAACTCAGCTGCTGAGTGCTGACATTATAGCCATAACACTGTTCTGCCACCTCTGCATTTCATCTCTCTGCAGCAAGTTGGCAATGCCAGTGGCAATGTGAAAAGCCTGACAGCAGAGGGCCTGTGTGGCCCACGTAAACATCACATAAGGGATTGGGGAAATGATTTTTCCGGAATGGAATGTCATTAAATTTGCCATCATTACTGACTGGGTCAGTATATAGCACAGTGGCAGGAACAGCTGGGGGTGTTTCTCCATAGAGCAGCTCCCTTTCAATCAAAGCCCGGCGTGCAGCAGTGGCTCGAACCTTTTGGTGTGCTTAAATTGATTTTCAAAAATAATATCATGCATCTTGTTACAACAGCACAGTGTTACTTCAATATAGACTTAACAAAAGTCACTTCCACTGACACAGTATTAATCATAGCAGTTCTTTCTACTCATAACCGCAAAGATTATTGATCTAAATATGCCTGTTTATCTCAAAAACCAAGAACAAGCAAGCAACGGCACTCTTACTACACAAACACCTGTGATTCATATTCAGTAACAGTGGTGGGACAAAGGGCCTCCCAAGTACTTCACAGCAGGGACAGTGATCTCATCTCCTGGCAGGCTATCTGCAACCCTCTGTGTACTAAATAGATAGGTTTTTCTTAGAGAGAAATTTACAGAATAAGCTAACCAGAGGAAGAGGTACATTACATGAGCATGCGTGGCCAATGTTTAGAACTGCCATGGTTCATTTTGAAAAATAATAAAGTCTCTTTCTTATGACTAACCAAAATGTCCACAAGAATTCTTCATAGGGTCAGATGTTGGATAAAGCTGAGTGGCAGCTATTTAAGTCATCACGTCTGCACTGGCCAACAAACTTACTTACTTATTTTATTTGTTTAAATAATATTTATTAATAATGTCAGAATTACAAAAAAAATAAAAAATAAAAACAACACTACAATAGAAAAAAAGAGAAAAATGCAAAACATAAAAACCAATACAACAATACAGCAAAAGAAAGTAAAAAAAGAAGGGGAAAAAAGACACAAATCTCAAATTGCATATCTATAATTTCCATTTTCTTGTTTCATTGACCTCCTCACACCTCCCTTTTTGTATTCTAGTTTAATTAATTGTTTCAGCAAATTCTTTCCATCTTTCTCAATTTTTGTTTAAAAAAATTTATCTTAACAATTTAACCTAATAATTAACTCAACAAATCCTTTCCATCTTTCCCCATATTCTGTTATTCAAATTACCTTAATTTATTTAACCTTATCTTACCCCAAAATACCTTAAAGCTTAAATCTTAGTTTTCAAATATACACAGCTCCTGATATCATTTCTGCTAGAGTCATATAGTTTCATTCCAACATTTTCCCTAATATTCATTAAGCTAATTCTAGATAAAAAGTTTCCTTTATAAATTTTCTTCCAATCATCATCCAGCGTCTCTTCTTCCTGGTCTCGGATCGTGTCAGTCCTTACTGTCCATTCCATCTAGTCCATCAACCTGGAAGCCTTATGTCCGAGGCCCTTAAGTCTCTTCCATGTCCCTTCTGCAGTTCTTCTTCTTCTTGTTTATACTTGCCCTTTTCCTTGTCTTTTGTTGGTCTCTTTCTTAATTTCTTTCCTTTCTCATTGAGGAGTAGGTCTCTGGGGGATTCCAACCCAAAATTGTCTCCATCTCCCTTCATCCAGCCCGCCCATTCCCCACGGTCCCACTCCCCACAGTCCTCGGTATAATCCAAAAAGTCTCTCCAAGGTTAGGAACCTCCTCATCTCCAAACTCCCCCTGGCCCACTCCTGTAGGGCCTCGGGTCTCTCCATTTGTATTATTTGAGGTGCAACCGCATCCTCCTCCATTGTCATCTGCACTTGCCCAGTCAGTACAGATTCATAGGTTGGTCCCTGGATGATTTCTGTATCAATGTTCCCTGTTTGTCCACAGTTATTAACCACAACAGTCAAATCCATTTTCTCATTCATCAAGTCCATCTTCTCATGCATCTGCTCCAGCAAGGCATTTGTCTTGCATAAAGCAAGCACCCAATCTTCCTCCCAGCTCATCTTTGGTCAAGGTCAAAAAAGACTGTTCCCACGATCTTAATCTCACAGATGTTGGGTCCTCAAGTATACTGCAGCAACAATTTAACAAGCTCCCTCTAGAGGAGACAGTTTCTATTTGTATCCATTTTTTTTTAAAGGCAAAGGAAAGTTACTTTCATTTTTCAGATATTTCAGATGTTTTTCAGATATTTTGTTTCTTTAAAATGCAAAAGGCAACATTAGACTCAACTTGTTTCTCTTCATTAGCTATCTGTCAAAATATTCCATTCACAGTCAATGAACCTCTCCAACAGTTTCTGTCTCTGACACCCCGTTCCCAGGTTAGAGACGGTGGAAACTTATCCTTCTTCACTCCCTCTCCTGCTAGGGTTAAACAGAGTCCCCCCCCCTTTTCTCCTGCTTCCAAGGGGGGTTTCAGTGATTCTGAATGAAGGAAATTTAGGCTTTTTTGACAGCTTTCCCGGCTTTAGCTTACAAAATTTTTGCTTTAGTCTATATACAAAAAGCGGAAGGCGGACTTCCTGTTTTGCACCTTCCCGCTTCGATACCAAATTAAGCAATTTCTTGATCCAATTTTCCATTTCTACTAACGGGTACTTGTTTTAAGTCCAATTGTCCACAGGAAAAAGTCAGTGCTCTCTGGCAATGGCTGTGCGGCTTCACTCCGTGAAAGTAGCAGTCAGTTCGTAGCACCGCGCTTCTCACCCCACTTCGCTCTGGAGCCCCTAAATGGGATTCCCCGCGAGTAGGGGGGCGCTTCCGGTGCCCTGCCGAACCCCACGTTCCCAGGCTTCCTCTGCCTGGGATTTCTAGCGGGTCCCCACCTTCGCCGCGGCGGGAAGACCCAGTTTCTATGGAGCCTGTTTCTCCGGTCGGAGGAACTCCGCCATTCACCAATGGTGCTGACCCGGAAGTCCCCTTACTTATTTTATTTGTGTCCCGCCCTTATGCCATAGATTTCACAACATAAAAGTACAAGAAAAAAAACACACACAAAATAATAAAACCAGAAAAAAACCCTACAAACCAATAACCCCCTCCCCACACTCATCAGAAGGGGCCCTGCTATGGGGACTGCTATGAAGAGTGCCTGTACTTTAGAATTTACCACTATGTTGCAAAGTAACATATTAAAATGGTGTGCATTGGTTTTACTGACCATTAATTTTTATTTCTTTTTGGTTAATTTTATATTCTGCTAATTTTTATTTATTTTTGGTTAATTCTATATTCTGCTTTTTTGATTTTGTTAAATGTTATTGGGCATGTGCTTTTAGAATTATTTTGATTCATTGTTGCTTTACTATTTGGCTTTAAGCTTTGCATATTTTATATTTGTTATATATTTTCAGTTCTGTAAATCACCCTGGATGATGATGATGATTAATTTTTTGAAAATAATATCACCACCACCACCACCAAGACCCCTTACTTGGACAACCTGCTTTAGTGTGTAGCAACTGCACTTCAACTACTCTTTGATGAGGCTGATTTTTTTTATCTCTTTCAATTGGGCTTTAGACCTTATTTTGGTACATTCTTTGTGCATCCTGATGGGTGACTTATCCTGGAATACCAACAGGGGCAATATGACTGTGATTTCTCTAAGATCTCTCAGCAGCTTTCAGTGCTACCAACCCTTCTGGATTGTATTTTTAAAGTACTCTGCATGGAGGTCCTGTTTCTGTCCAAATGATCAATTTGAGAAACTATTGTTGAGAGACCACTGCTCAACAACTCGGCATTTATGATTTTGGGGGGAGGGGGTCCTATAGGGTTCAATCGTGTCCCTTAACACCTGCATAAAACCATGGTGATTGGGAGTGAAGTATCATCAATATTCATTTCAGTTTTCCAAGTGCGGAGTAAGTTCTGGGGAAATAAAACAGGCACCCCTATAAAAAGTACAATATAAGAAACATGGGCATAAAGAGTATTCAATTTACATTGTTGTACTCCACTTTGATACATTTTGTGAAAAGCAATATATAAATCTTTAAATAAACAAATTCCATAGATTGGATTAAAATAGTTCTGTCCATTAAAGATTGGTAATCAGACAGTCCCCAATATGTGCTTGAAGTCTGTCTTAATACTGTACTTACCGTACGTCTCCCACATTGCTCACAATTTAAGTGATATATTTTACTCATTCTAAAATGGTGTTAGAGCATGTTGGATTTCACAACTGTTTCCTTTAGTTTTTGCATAAATCACAGTTACAGAAGAATATTTCCTTATCCTTTCCCAGGTCTTATCAGTAATGCTATTTGCTATGCAGATCAGGGTCACCAACTATTTAGAAGCATGCAGTTTTGGATTTTGGAGTGTGTGTTGTGGGGATGGCCACCCCTTCTGGTCTCATTATTCCCCCCAGCCCTACTGGAGAAAGAGAGAAAGTGTGTGTGCACAGCTTTTTCAAGAAGGCTAGGTAAAAATTATACCCAGTAGAATTAATATCAGACTTAAAAGCACATAGAGTTGAAAGAGGAAGTGGGAAAGAGCACTGCTGTAATTTCCTTTCAGCCCTATACTTCACAAGAGAGAAGAAAGTTACCGCCCTCACTACCTCATGACCAAGAGAACATGGAGGTGGTGGGGACTTAGTAGCTTCATGGGCACCAGGGGAAGACGTGAGGGCAACATTACACCAACAATTGTCATGCTGGTGACTGCTGATGTAGATTCTTCTCCCTTCCCTTTTTTAAAAAAGTAAAAAATCATTCAGTTGAATAGCAACTGTTTGTACAATTTACTCACTAGAGCTTTCTGGATCTTGATATTACTCCCCCTATTAGCAAAACAGGAGTCCTACATGCAGGCATGCTGAAGTGGAAGGGGAAAAGAGGTAAGATGGGTTGCGAGTCTTGTAAACTGTAGAGACTACAACGGTATGAAAAAAGACCAGGTTTTGTTGTCATTTATGTCATTTAAAAAAGAGAACAAGGCCACACTCCATACCTAAACAAAACTCCACAGGGATAAAGGACTGCAGATGTGCTCTGTCATCATGGTGAATGTTGGCAGCAGAGAGTATCACACAGGTGCACATCCATATCCTTTGGGAGTTGGCAGTAAAACTGAAGAGATGCCAGCCCCCTTCTGCCTGCTTCCGTTCAGCCTTGAGTCCAAGGGTGGAGGGAGTATATGCACCCTTAGAATTGCCTGCCTTGACTCAGTTCTTCTTCCATATGATTCTTTAAGTTGAAAGTCTGCTTCCTTCCCTATAAACCAGTGGTGGCGAACCTTTGGCACGCATGCCAGAGGCGGCACTCAGAGCCCTCTCTGTGGGCACACACGCCATCGCCAAAGCAGGGCTGTTGCTGGGGGTTGGCAAAGTGGCCAGGCGCTTCCCCCCCATGCCGCTGCGTGCGGGAAACGCTCCCTAGAGCATGTGCTGCCCGCAGCGTCATCGGGGGGAGTTGCGCACCCACCAACCAGCTGGCATGGGTCTTTGGGTGAGAGAGAGAGAGAGAGAGAGAGCACACGAAGGGACACGCGTGCAACTCGCTCGCCACACCTCCTGATCCGGGCTGGGAGGGATGAGCGCTGCCCCTGGTCTAGGCGGACAACGCTCTCCGTCTCCTCGGGGCTCCTAAAAGATGCGAGCAAGAGATTCTCTGCGGCGATAGTGCAGGTGATTGGTGACTGTGTCAAGGGCTGTTTTCAATTGGCTGCTATTGCGGCAATTGGGTGGCCGATTTGCGGCTGCTGGCAGCGAGTGTGGAGATGATTGGTGTCTTCTGCGACTTGTGCGATTGTAAGCATCCGTGCAGCTAGTGAGCAATTTTCGACAACCCCCCCCCAAAAAAAGGTCAACAACTTTGGGAAATCCCCCTCCCAACAGCTGAACAACTCTGGGCAATCCCTCCCACTCAAAAGCTCTTAGTACACCAGTGACCAAAATTGTGGAATCTTCTGGAAAAAGTGTATTTTCAAGCTTTGATGGCTCATAACACTACTTTTTTTGGAGTAATACCAGTCCTTTTTTTCTGTGGGGACGCAGGGAGATGCATACCCTAAACAATTTGTGAATTTAACGGGAGAAGAAATTCACTGTATTTATTTTCCCCAATGGTGATTTTCTTGAGTCAAAATGAGAGTATTCCTAAACATTTTTTAAATAAAAAAAGCACTGCGTTATACCATAAAATTATATATCAATGGAAAGGGTAAGATTAACCCTAATGTATGAGTTGTTTTTTCTAAACTAAAACCTCAGTATTCAGGTTAAATTGCCATGTTGGCACTTTGCGATAAATAAATGGGTTTTGGGTTGCAGTTTCAGCACTTGGTCTCTAAAAGGTTCGCCACCACTGCTATAGACCCTCTCAGGTGCTGAGATCAGCAGAGGGGGCCCTCTTGTTAGTTCCTCCACTCTCAAAGGCTGGGAGGCAGGTAGCAACCCAGGAAAACATTTTCTCTGTGGCATCCCTTAAGTTATGGAACTCCCCACTTTCAGAGAATGCTGAAGATTCACCTCTTTACCCTGAGGTGTATATTCCCTTAACAAAATAATTGGTTTCCTCTTAGAGATTCTGCCCTCATCTACACAGGACCACAGGTTTGGAAGGGATGCATGGACACCATCCAGACTGACCCCCCCCCCAAAAAAACCCTTATAACACTGGAACACAGCTCATGCACCTGTGTGGAAGTTTCGGATTTCGGCAAGTCCTTGCTGAGGCACTCAGAAAACCTGGCAGTGCCACTCAGGGCATGGGATGTGGATATCTGTGAGCAGCAAGAAAGTTCTTCAGCAATGTAGTAGATTTTGTTCTCACCCTAATCCTTCATGGTTTAGTCTACTCTGTGCTATAGAAGTGAAGGGGAAGGCAGAGGCATTTAAAAGGGCAACCATACAATAGCTTTCATTCAGATGCTGAGAGAGTTAACTCTGCCCCTTAAGCAGTTAATGCATAAACCATTTTAATGCTATACTAATTGTTTCACATCAGAGGGTAAGACATAAATTATAACCCATTGGGCTTTAATTGCATGTTCTTACATTGTTGCTAATTATCCTTTATTCCTGAAAAAGAGAGCTTTAGAATGTTTAATTTTGGATTCCAAGAAATAAAAGGTACTTCCAAAGAGGTTATTCTTATCAGATATGTGCTGCATCTACATTTGAATATTTTCAGGAAATTTCAGTCCCTTCTCAAACTAGGACTTTGCTTGCCTTGACCTCAGTGCTGAATTTTTCAAAATATATGGTGTTAAGAGTTTGCAATGAAACTATATTCAACGTTTAGAATCCTTTTCTTGTCCTGTGATCCTAGCTGTTTGTATGTGGGGATGGCTTTAGATACTCAGTGCTGCAGGGCATACTCTTAGAAATACTCTTCACATTTCCCACTCCAGGGACAAATGTAACTTCTGCATGGTCTGAAGGCAAAGCAATCTCATATTTTGGAAGGTGAGTGGTGTGGAGCTTTGCAGGGCATCCATGTACAACACAATGTGTAATCTGGAACAGAGGAGATTGCAACTGTTAATCCTTCAAAGGTCCGAAGGAGTCTTATCTGGTCACTGCCAGCTCAGCCTCTTCCAGGTAGTCTCTGGATCAGGGGTAGGCAACCTAAGGCCCGGTGGCCGGATGCGGCCCAATTGCCTTCTCAATCCAGCCTGTGGACGGTCCGGGAATCAGCGTGTTTTTACATGAGTAGAATGTGTCCTTTTATTTAAAATGCATTTCTGGGTTATTTGTGGGGCATAGGAATTCGTTCTTTTTTTTTTTTTTCAAAATATAGTCCGGCCACCACATGGTCTGAGGGACAGTGGACCAGCCCACGGCTGAAAAAGGTTGCCGACCCCTGCTCTGGATCATTGTTTGCTGCCGGATCTTCTGAGTAGACCCTTCCTCCTAAGTAGACCCTTGGTGATCTAGCGTAGAGTGAGCTGAATCAACTTTCAAAAATGAAGGGTGCTAAAAAGGTATAATGTGACTTGGGAATTCAAAGATATTTTGGTTAAATTAATATTATTTAGTTTTGCTTGGTAAGTAACATTTGTGTAAAATTGCATAGAAAGCATTAAAAATGATTGCCAGGTACTTGCTATTATTATTAGCATTAGCATTAACATCTGACATTTTCAGAAGCTAAGATTTAAATTATTTGGTTTTCTGAAAGCAATTTATGTGCTTCTTAATCTAAATGTTGTCCAGTCACAAAAATAACAGCGCGGCTGATGGTCAGGGATGATGGGAGCTGTAGTCTAACAACTCCTGGAGGGACCACAGGTTCCCTATCATTGATACAGACAACATGCACAACTTGTGATACATTTGGGACAGAAGGAAAACAACAAATCAATTCTAATAGAAGGGGATAAAAGCTCACATATTAACACCCCCTTCAAATAAGCATCCCCAGAAATATGCCAAACAACTCCTGGTAAAAACTGTCAAAAGGCAGTAAGTTGAGCTGCAAAGGTCTGGCAGCAGTGCTCTCCTCCCCGCTTTCTTTTTTCTTTTTTCTTATGGTGAAAGAGCCTCTTTCTCCAATGAAAGGAACATAATCACTCTTCAAGGGTGAGGCATTTAATTTATTCCACAGGGATTCGTTTCAATCCTTTTCGAAAGCTAATCTCTGCTTTGAATTCCTGGTGTTTGCCATTGAGGAAGGGCACACGTAAGAGCCTGCTCAAACCTCCCTTCCCCTTTAAAGCCATGTCTGAAAAATATTATTTTCCTCCTGCAGCTCCATTTTCGATTTGGTCTGAGTCAAATCGCTGGATGACCCTGGGAATAGCTGGCTTCACTGACAGAGCTTTTCCTGAGTCTGCTGACATCCTTTCTGATGTGGTAAATAAGTCACAGGAACCATAAAAACCAAGGGCTTGGTTTTTTGTTTTGTTTTTCTGCTTTAACACATGGGCCACATTTAGAGTTCATCTCAATCCAGGGGAAAATTTAAGCTTGGAACACAGACAAGACACCTTTTTAAAAAATCCACCCTGATCTGCCCCTGGGATATCCCTTTTGCCCTCCCCATCATTGAGGCAAGAACAGTGGAGGGGCAACAGTGGCTCCTACACTTGTTGGGAGGGGGCTTCAGATGGTGGACTACTTTCTCTGCCCACAGACTTCAAAATCCTATGTCCTCTGGGGTGCCCTTCTAGGATTGCACTCAAAGCATGCGTAGAATACTTTTTCTCTCTCCACCACCACTATTTTCCAATATAACAAAACTGCAACAAGAAGAACTGAGTCTAAATGCATGATACAATTACCACTGGGTGCATTACATTAACTGTGCAATATTATTTCAGACACACTCTTTGTTTAAAAAAAATAACACTCCAATTAATGACAAATCAAATCTTGCCTCACATAATACAAATAATAAAGCCAATTATACATTCCAAATTATATAATTTAAAGGGACTTCCCATGTTCTGGCTGGTCAGGAGAAAATCTCATAATCATAAAGTATCATAAATCCGATATACGATCTTATCCTTTATCTTATCATAACAGTCACTGGTATGCGACTTTCAATCGTATTTAACAAATCCATATGTATATTAGCATGCAAGAGGAATTTTATTTATTCTTCCTGTTGTTTTCATCAGATGTTTTTGGTGCAGTCCCCCTCAGAGGTCCCTTTTCATTCCACGATCTTATCTTCCAGGACTCTGAGCTGTCTTCCAGCTTTCCTTTGTCTATCAAAATTATAACACAACAATCCTTCAAATCTTTTAATGAACTGGTGTTTTTCAAATCCGAATAAGGGTCTTCCATAGGGGGCAATGCCATAAGGTATATTTCACAGTTAGTAATTGTTTGGTTCCTCTAAAATCCAAGCTTTGCTCCCCCCCCCCCCCGGGCCCTAGGGGAAGCTTGCAAAGATCAAAGATTCACCTTCACTTTGATATTAATCCATATATGACAAGAATCCATGCAAGCAAATGTAGTTTCTTATGTGAAATATTCCCCAGTTGTAATCCATCAGTTGTCTTCAACCCCTGTAGAGAGGCCCTTTCTTTTTCTAATGCACCACCATTTACGCCATTTTATCGTTCCAAGCTGAAAGTATATCTACTCATGTTTTTGTACAAAGTCCTTTCATATCTTGCCAGTTCCAATTAAAGCCCTCCACAGAGGGCCACACCATAAAGCATCAGATTCTCAAGTTTTTGTACAGTTCCTCTTGCATTCCGTTTAGTTAATTAAATCTTTCTTAGTGAGGCTTGCCAAGTCATGAAGTAATAAGTATAGAAAAGAAACAGATGCTCACCTCACATAAATCGTAGCAAAATGACGAAAATCCTTTCCAGATCAGAACCTTAACACTTCTTTCCAGAGCACGCCTATTTCAGGGTCCGAATTCAATTAATTTTTAAGGAACAGGAATACTCTCTCTCTCATGGTGCCAGCAATGGAGAGTTTCCAATTTGTGGAGTGCTAAACACCCAGCATCCCTGCCCCTGCATTCCATTGTAGCGAGCAGCAGATGAGAAGACCCCCCTGCCCTGGGGGGTTGCCAGGGATAATTACCCCCATATTATTCCTGATAAATTGCATGACTGGAGTCCGGTGCTATGGGAAAGCTGCCAAACGCCATGGCGATCGCACCAGAAGCCATTTCAGACACACTCTTAAGCACATTACTAGTTAATATAGCTCCTGCACTGATGGGTTTGGGTTGTCAGTGAGAGAATTTTTATTTCCATCCCTTATATATTAGAAAAAGGAAAACCAGGTTTCATCTAAAGTGTCTCTCTTTGCAATACCTTTTATCATCCTCCTATGTCTATTGAGGTGTTCAGAGATAACCACAACCCACTCATTGCTGAACCATATTTCTAGTGGCTGTTCAGCCTCGGATTTCCAAAAACATGCTAACAGGTGGCTGTCATCAGGGAAAAAATGACTCTATGCCAGATATTGAGATCTGGGTTTTTATTTAGTGAAAGTAGGACTAGTGCTAGAGATAAGTTGCAGGCCCTCCAAGTGTCCCTATTTTCCAAGGACATCTCTGATTTAGAGAAGCCATTGGGTTTCTGATTTGATCCCGAAATGTCCCACTTTTCCTTAGGATGCCATCATTTTCATTGGAGAAAATAGTAAAATTATCATTATGGAATGGGACGTCTCTATTGTCCTTGGATAAATGTTGGAGAGTATGAAGTTTTTAGTGATCTTGGAAATGGTGTCAGAAACAGTGGTCCAAAACATTCACAACTTGGTAAACAGATAAACAACTACACAACTTTCTGAAGACATCTAAAGGCAGCCCTGTATAGTTTTTAATGGTTTAATGGTTGATATTTCATTATGTTTTTATATTATGTTGAAAGCCACCGCAAGTGGCTGGGGCAACCCAGTCCGATGGGTGGGGTATAAGCAGGATTTCCACCCCAACCAAATGAAATACCGTATTTACTCGAATCTAATGCTCATCTTTTTTGGCCAAATTACGTTGTGAAAATTAAGGTGTTCATTAGATTTGATGGCACATTTACATTCGCCTGCAAATCCTTTTTTTGGTTTCAAGGTTCTGAAAATTGAGTTGTGCATTAGATTCAATGACACGTTAGTCTTGGGTAAATTTGGTAGATAAAATCCATTTTCTGCTGCATCTGCATTAGAAAAGAATTCCGGATTTTGAGTAATTTGTGACTCGGTGGAAAGCATTCAGCTGGTTGACTAGAAAGAATGAGCTTCTTTTGGGTTCTGTAGCATTAGAAGTAATGCAAAGGCATCAGATGATGCCTTTAATAGAAGAATCTTCTCACAGTCAATTGCCTGGCACCTTTATCACCACTGCAAATAACAACAGTGACAGGGAGCAGTCGTGACACATGCCTCTAAAAAGGTTGATTAGAGGGGCCTTAAAACCATTAACCACACTGCCTGTTCTGGTTTTCAAGCAGGACAAAATCCATCAAAGGCTGCTGTTGTTGCTGTTTTTGCAGCCATTTTCTTAGTTTTGTTCTTTCCTCCTTTTCCCCCCTCTCCCCCCCCCTTTCTTCCCTCTTCAGGATCAGTGTCTTCTCTGCTGTCTTCTGCTCCTCTGTGTATTTATCTCCTTTTGGCTGAAGCTGTAGCTGATCCATTTTTATTTTTATTTTGCTTCAAGGTGGGTGACTGCAGCTTTAGTTATTCCTTCATGTGTTATCAGCAGTTTGAAGGGGCAACCCCATCTATATTTGATTCCAGCTTCTCTGAGTGCAGCAGTGAATCCATGGAACACACATCTGTATTGCAAAGTTACCGGCTGTAGTGGGTCTTCAGGATCTCCAGAAGTCCTTCCCCAACAATGGGTGTCAGTGACTGAAGTGTAGGTGGGTTCCCACAAAGCTAGACACAGTGATAACAGCAAGAACCTTTATTGAACTAACAGAACTGGACAATAAGGGCAAGGCAACTGCTTATGTACATTTCTGAAGGCCTGGGCCACTCCCACTCTCAATGTGATTGGCTGTTTAAACTCCCAAGCTGCAAATCATAACTTAGAGTTTAAAAACCAATGGCAGTGGCCCAAATCCTGAAATGTTTGTTGATTGGATATTATGTATTGAATTAGAACACAGGGGCTCAGAATCCTTAGTCCAGACTTAAGCTCGGGCAAACACAGACCACTGAGTATATAACAGTAACCCCCAGATCATCTAAGATAATTCCAATGGCTGACTTCTAAAGGATGCAATGTGAGCTACAAAATGAGCTTTTTTCACTGCCCGCACTGCCACATAGTAGGCACAACTATGTGTTTTCCGTCGGCTTCAGAATGAGACTTGCACCACCTGCACTTCAGTGCTCATCCAGTCTGCTTCATAGTCTGGAGCACCTCAAAGTACCAAAGAGCCTCTCAGGCTCCAAAACACTGGCAAGGATGCCCAGGGCACGAACGATCATGTCTGTTTCATCTCGCTAATCCACAGCGAGGGCTTCAACAGGATCACCAGTGCAACTGGAAAATCCCTCAGGACATTCAGGGACATATCAGATGCTATCAGTCTCCCAGGGCAGACCATACCTCCCTTCAGAGCGGCACTGCCACTGTCAGTCGAAACTTAACCCGATAATGGTTTGGCCAGTGTACTTCTTCTATCTTCAGTAAATCCCTCATATCACTTTGGGCAAAGATCACATCCAGAGTGTGCCCTGCCTGCTGTGTTGGACTGATGGTAAAGTGAGAGAGACCTGTGGTTGTCATGGAGGTCATGAAGTCTTGAGCTGGCCCATCATCAGCCTCCACATGGAGATGGAAGTCATCCAAGATTATCATTTTATGGTCCTCCAACAATATCCAGAGACTACCTTGGTCAGCCTGGTTAGAGATGCAACAGAGTGATCAATAGACCAGTAGCATCACTGATCTGTCTTCTGACCCAACACCAGTGAAAGACACTCTAAGCCTATCTGAAGGTCAAGAGGCTTCCTGATCAAGTAGATGGTGTCCCTGCAGACAATAGCAACTCCCTTGTTGAATCTCTTTTTGAAAACACTTACAAGTGTTTATTATCTTGTGGTGATCGGAGACAAATACTTATGCCGCTATTTAGCTCCTCAGCTAGCTCATTTGCCTTTTCTTTCTCTTCTAAAGTCCCCAAGTGGTATTGGGTAGTTCCAGCCCTTTGTTTTTATGTATCTGAGAAGGAAAGATTAAACAATTTAAAAAGGGATATGGGGACATATTTTTGCATGTTGTGGACAAATTATGGTTATACATTATGTACTCTGGGCCCATCACTAACATGAGGGTTCTCAGAGCCTTGTAAGGTGGAGAGCTTTAAAAGCTCTTTCTGCAGTAGGTCTTCCCTACTCTTCATTTATTTATTACTTTCCTCCACCCATGGTAAGCTGCAGTCACGTAAGTATAGTGAGTGTAAGTTGTGGGCCCGCCATATACTCAGGAGAAACTTTATTAAGAACTCCATCACAAGGCATGGTCTCCTCCACCATACAGTGGTACCTCAGGTTACAAACACTTCGGGTTACAAACACTTCAGCTTACATACTCCACTAACCCGGAAGTAGTACCTCGGGTTGAGAACTTTGCCCCAGGATGAGAACAGAAATCGTGCACCAGCGGCAGCAGGAGGCCCCATTAGCGAAAGCACGCCTCAGGTTAAGAACGGTTTTGGGTTAAGAATGGACCTCCAGAACGAATTAACCAGAGGTACCACTGTACATTGAATAGGATTTGTTCCACTTTCTGATTTTCTTTTAGTCTGTTAAGATTTCACTCTGAGAAGTTAATAACAAATACTTCTTCTTCTTTGGCGATCACTCGTAACCGAGTAAGGTTGTCTTCCATAAACACGTTTTAACAATAAGTCCGGAAGTGACTGTGGAGGCCAATTCTGGATCCACATATCTTTCCATAGTGGGGACATTGGTTTCCGGGAAGGAGTTGATCTCGGTGTGGACTTGCCAAGCGTGCCTTCCTCTTAGGATGTTTCTCCCTTGTGTCCTGAGTTCAAGTGTCTTCAAAGCCCATGACACCTTTGGTAAAAGCTGTTCTCCAATTGGAGCTCTTGCAGGCAAGTGTTTCCTAATTGTTGGTGTTTATACTACATTTGAAAAAATTTGCCTTGAGACAGTCTTTAAACCTCTTGTTGACCACCAGCATTAAGCTTTCCATTTTTAAGTTCGGAATAGAGTAGTTGCTTTGGAAGACAATCATCAGGCATCCACACAACATGACCAGTCCAACGAAGTTGATGTTGAAGAATCATTGCTTCAGCACTGGTGATCTTTGCTTCTTCCAGTACACTGGTATTAGTTCGCCTGTCTTCCCAAGGGATGTGTAAATTTTTTTGGAAACACTGTTGATGGAATCTTTCGAGGAGCTGGAGAGGGCGTTTATAAGTGGTCCATGTTTCACAAGCATACAGTAAGGTTGGTAGTACAATAGCTTTGTAAACAAGCATTTTGGTTTCCCTGAGAATGTCCTGGTCCTCAAACATGTCCTGGTCCTCAAACACTGCACTCCAATTGGGAGAAAGCCGCACTCGCAGAGCTCAGGCGATGCTGGATTTTGTCATGAATGTCAGCCCTTGTGGAAAGATAACTGCCAGGTAGGGGAAGTAATCAAAATTTTCCAACGTTATACCATTGAGTTGGATTTGTGGTGCTGCAGAGGAGTTATTTTGTACTTGTTGGTGCAGCACTTTGGTTTTTTGGATGTTGAGCGATAGGCCAAGCTTTTCGTAAGCTTCTGCAAAGATATTTAGGATGGTTTGGAGGTCATCCTCTGAGCGTGCACACACTACGTTGTCATCATCATACTGAAGTGCTATGACAGAAGTTACAGTAACCTTACTCTTTGCTTTCAGCCTGCTCAGATTAAAGAGCTTTCCATCTGTTCGATATATGATATATGATTTCTACTCCGGTGATTTCTACTCCTTCGACAAAGTGTAGGATTATGGCAATGAAAATAATTGATAGAGTTGGGGCAATAACACAACCCTGTTTAATACCTGATCCCACTGTGAATGGTTCACTTTGAGAGCCATTGTTATCTGCGATTGTTGCTGTCATATTAGCATGGAGGAGCTGAATGATGTTCACAAATATATCGGGGCAGCCAATTTTCAGAAGGACAGTCCACAGGGCATTACGATTTACAGTGTCAAAAGTCTTAGTCAGGTCAATAAACGCCATATACAGGGGTTGGTTTTGCTCTCTGCATTTTTCTTAAAGTTGTCGAGTTGTGAAAATCATGTCCACTGTCCTCCTAGAAGGTCAAAAACCATTTTGGGATTCAGGAAGGGTCACCTTTGATATTGTTAAGAGACGGTTTGCTAAGATCCTTGCAAGAATTTTGCCGGCCGCAGCTAATAGAGAGATGCCTCAATAGTTTTCTCCAATCAGTTCTGTCACCTTTTTTAAAGGGATTGATAATTTTGGCATCCCTAAAGTCTGCTGGGATCTCTTCTCTCTCCCAGATTTTTTCAATGAGCTTGTGAAGTTGTTGTGTAAGTTCAATTCCAACCACTTTGAAGACTTTGGCAGGTATCCCATCAGGTCCACTGGCTTTGTTGTTTTTCATTTGGTTAATAGCTGTACACAACTCTCCCAGATTTGGAGATACTGCAAGATCATCTCTAACTTGTTTTTTGTGAAATTTGTGAGAAGACCTCAGCAGCTACAGGGGAGTTGCAGTTAAGGAGATGTTGGTAATGTTCTTTCCAGCGCAGTGCAATAGCTTCTTTATCTTTTAGAAGCATGGTACTGTCTGCTGAGCATAGAGGGCATACACCATGATTTATTGGCCCATGGGTGGTCTTTGTGGCTTTAAAGAAACTCTGTGCATCATGAGTGTCAGCTAAGTGCTAGATCTCTTGAGCTTTTTTTATCCACCAGGTGCTTTTTACTTCTCTGGTTCTTCTTTGAACCTTAGCCTTAGAGTTGGCATAGGTTTTTTTCTTAATGGCACAGTTTCTGTCTCTTTGCCAGATCTAAAAGGCCTTCCTTTCCTTGTCAATCATGCATTCAATCTCACTGTCATTCTCATCAAACCAGTCCTGGTGTTTCTTGGTTTGGTATCCAATAGTTTGTTCACAGGCTGCAATAATGGATGTTTTTAGCTTGGTCCAGTGTTCCTTGATGTTATCAGGGAATTCTGAAAGCAGATAGTCCTTAAGAGCTGTTTGGAAGCAATCCTGCTTAATGGGATTTTGAAGGGCTTGAGTGTTCATTTTGCATCTTGGTTTCCTTCCTTGAAGCCTGCATTGAGGTAGAATCATAGAATCATAGAGTTGGAATAGACCACAAGGGCCATCGAGTCCAACCCCCTGCCAAGCAGGAATATCAAGTATAATCTTGATAGCCATCAAGCCTGCCAAGCAGGAATATCAAGTATAATCTTGATAGCCATTGTGGAGCGTATTAGCCAGTGATCTGTCCAGCAGTCATCGGCACTCGTCATAGCTCTGGTAAGGAGCACATCACGGCCATCTTCAGCTCGGACAATTACATAGTCTAAGAGGTGCCAGTGGTTTGAGCGAGGATGCCTCCATGATGTTTTTAATTTATTTTATTGTCGAAAGAGTGTGTTGGTGAGAACAAGGGTGGGCGCTGCACATATTGTCAAAAGTAAGATTCCGTTCTGGTTACTGTTGCCAATTCCTTCTTTCCCAGTAGTCCCAGGCCACAGATCGAAATCTCACCCAACTCTTGCATTAAAATCACCTAGGAGGATAATTTTATCTTCCTTAGGCGTCTCTGATAGGACGGTATCCAGCTGAGAGTAAATTTTTTCTGTAATGTCTTCATCGGCATCCAGTGTTGGTGCATAAGCGCTGAGAATAGTAGCCTGTTGGTTTTTGGTGAGTTTTATTCGAAGGGTTGAGAGTTGCTCATTAATGCTGGTAGGGACTTCTCACAGGAGCTTCACAAGATCATTTTTGATAGCGAAGCCTACCCCATGTATTCGACGTTCTTGTTCAGATAGACCTTTCCAGAAGAACGTGTAGCCTCCTTTTTCTTCCTTCAGTTGTCCCTCGCCTGCTCTTCAAGCCTCTTAAAGCGCTGCAATATCAATATTAAAACGTTGCAGCTTGCTTGCAATGATGGCAGTTCTGCGTTCAGGACGCTCGTTATCTGTGTTATCCAACAAAGTCTGTATATTCCATGTTCCAAAGTTCAGTTGTCTTTTACAACCACTGGGTGGTGACCCCACTGGGCACGGTAATCCAGTCAGAGAAAAAGGGAGGCAGACTTTGTTTAGGGCACCTTTTCTAGCCCCTCCCCCTTTTCGGGGTGAGCAGAGTGGATCCTAAAAAGGGCTGCTCAGTCATGGATACAGCTGTCGAGCTGCTCAACTGCATCATTTCTTGAGTCAGAACGACTGAATCTGTATTCACCGCCCATGTGCTAGGGGCTTCCAGATTTCACAATCCTGCCCCCGTTACCATTTGCTGATTGCCATGGGACTTTTGGGATTTGGGTTTGGGATGGGCTTTTGGAAGATGCCTGTGTGTGAATTTGTTTTATGTTTGTAGATCAGTGCACACTGACCAACGCACAGTCTTCACAGTAAGGCTCTGTTCCGATGGCATGAGCAGCCACGATGACTGGTAGATTCTTATCTGCTGCAGCTTTCATCCGCCTTCACAGCCGTTGTAACATATCACTTGTTATCATCCGCCTGTTTTGCCGTTGAGGATTTCTTGAATCATTCTTTGTCTAGCTCTTTCCCTTTTACCGCCTTGGGTGACCCTGCTGGGAGTATGAGATTCCTGAAGGTTTCGCTCACAAGGGACGTAGGAATGTGCAACCCCACTCACCACGACAAGGTGATGATCCAGCGAGCAAGAATAACAAATACAGGAAATGTAAGGTAAAGGTAAAGGACCCCTGAATGATTAAGTCCAGTCAAAGGTGACTATGGGCTGGGGCGCTCATCTTGCTTTCAGGCCAAGGGAGCCGGTGTTTGTCCGCAGACAGCTTTCTGAGTCATGTGGCCAGCATGACTAAACCACTTCTGGTGCAACGGAACACTGTGACAGAAACCAGAGCAAACGGAAACACTATTTACCTTCCTGCCGCAATGGTACCTATATATCTACTTGCACTGGTATGCTTTCGAACTGCTATTTTGGCAGGAGCTGGGACAGAGCAATGGGAGCTCACCCTGTCGTGTGGATTCGAACTGCCAACCTTCTGATCAGCAAGCCCAAGAGGCTCAGTGGTTAAGACCACAGTGCCACCCGCATCCCTACACAGGAAATGTAAAGAGTACCAGCAAGTTCCCTGGGTAATATAAGGCTGTAAAAGCAGTAATTGTGATACATTTATTGTGAGTGTGAAGAACTTTTGGTATGAAAGTGTTAAAAAGATGAGATACTGTGATACATTTTAAAATACAAGCCATTGCACAGATAGATAATGTTCATTCATGCAAGCATGATTCATAAGGGGATTCATCAAAGGCATGGCATATTTCAGGAAGGCTGCCAGAGTTCTGAGATGGAGATTTGAAAATGAGGGAACCACATTATTTAACCTAAATTTAATCCCCTCCCCCAATTGCAGTAGCAAATTCCCTTAAACATGCAAAACAAGCATGCAGAGGAATGGAAGCTTTATTCAGAGGGTAGAACTTATTAGTAATTTAATGAGAAGTCAGACTCCAGCTGACACATTCCTTTGGGCTTTAAGATTGAGGTCAAGCATTCTGGTGATGTGCAGAGCTGAACTACAAAGACTTTAGCTTATTCACAGATGCTTGATGATGGTCAGAGAGACAGGTACAGAAGTGAGAAGGTGGTAAAGCAGACTGATAAAAAGGCCAACATGCTTTGAAGAGCAAAGGCAGAATTTGGGCATATGAAGACCATTTTGGAGAGTGGGTGGGGGAAAAACAACAATGTTGCCTTTGCAAGTCTTTTTTTATTTAGTATATGCATAATAAGAGGTCTCATTTGTGCATGTTTTGCCTTCCAGAAACCATCAGCGTTCAGTAAAGTCTCACTGACTTTGCAAACAGTGAAAGGCAGTCATCTTGCTTCCTTCAGCCCCGCACCCCAAGTACTTGCAACAATAGAACTTTGTACTTTGGAGCTACTCCTGGATCCATCTTTGTTTCTGGGTTAATTTTAACATGCTAAATCTGGCACCTATGAATTAGAAGGGGGAGTTTAGGAGCTAGAAGGGGGGTCCAGGCACCCCACAAACTTGTAACGCTATTATTATAATAAGCACCCTTTCTGATCACTGACATTAGGCACACTGATAAAATGGTAGTGATCGGAATTTTTTTCATAAAAACCTTAGCATGGTGGTGTGAGGCACGCTTGGGGTTGTTTTCAGTTTTCAGAAAGGTAGCAGCTGGGAAGCACCACCTGCTCAGTCCTGTTCCTGTAGCCCCAGGCGAGGCCTCTCCTTCCAGCATCTCCTTGCCAGCACTCTGGACGGGCCAGCATGTCTGAAAGCACCTTCCATCTGTCGGAGTCCTGTTGTCACGGGACACTCCGCATTATGACAGGGGCTCTGGGCTTCTGAGCACAGAACTCCTGCAGCCTGGCCGGCTTGGGCAAAGGCTTTGGAACTACCACCTCCAACTGTACCCATGGCCGACAAGAGTGCCTGCAGGACTTTGAGCTCCTCCATCCACAGCGAGGATCTTCTGAGTGACATGGAGCTGCTGCCACCCTCGGCTCCTGCCTCCCCAGGGCAAAAGGTCCCTTCCTCTCAGGCTTACACCCCCTATACCTCCCAGGTGACGGCACAACTCTATGCCTTGCTGCATCAGAGCCGGCAGGCTGAGGCTCAGGCCCGCTCCCACCTGGAGAACCAGCACAGCTTGGGTCTCTCCAGGGAAGCGGAGGCCCCCGAAGTAGATCTGGACACTCTGGCGGAGGAGCTCAGCCACCGACTCTCAACCAGCGTGGAGGCCAGCACCTACAGGAAGGGTCCTGCCGTCGAGTCCCGCCACATCTTGGAGATGGAGAACGTGCGCTGCCATCTGCAAGGCATGCTCCATGGGTCCAGGGATGCTGCTCATGGGGATGCTGTGGCACTGCGGACTTTTGAGCAGAAAGACGATGACTCCTTTGAGAGTGACAGCACGACAGCCTTGCTCAACGCCAGGCCCCTGCAGGAGGTCTCTCCTCCTGGCTCCCTAGCCGGCTTCGAGCAGCTATTTCCCCGCTACACCAGTCTGCGCTTGGGCCAACTCCGTGAGCACCCGCCATATGCCGACTCCCACCTGCTGAAGGACTCTTTGGACAAGGAGCAGGCCCGGCGGAAGGTGAGTGGCACCAGACAGCTGTGGAGGCTGCCTGAAGGATTCACAAAGGATTGTGGGAGAATGAGGGAACGGGTGGCTGCTAGGACTGGGTCTGCCCTGTCCTCTTTTCCCCCCAAATTGCTTTTAAAAGTCACAGGCATTATCAAAGGTCAAAGATAGATTACAGCAAGGCAATGAATTGATTTTAGAATGTATTTCAATTAATTGATTGTGATTTTATGTAAAGTGTGTTACTTTTACTGTTGTTAGCCGCTCTGAGCCTGGCTTCGGCTGGGGAGGGCGGGATATAAATAAAATTTTATTATTAGTAAAATAAATAAATAAATAAATAAAACTTAGCATTATTGCAGCCCTGTATTGCATAGTGTTGTAATGCTATAGCACCAGCAGCAGTAGCATCATCATTAATAACAACAAGTATTATGCTGCTATGGCACTATGCCTCTTTTTCATTAAAAGATATCCCCTTCTAAGTTCCTTCCAAAGTTCCCACTTCCCCAGGCATAGTAAAAGACCATACATTTGATGTTAAAAATGGTTTACTTATGAACTCCTCAAAGGTCAGATTCATGTGCTTTTCCAGACAGCAGTCAGAAAACACAGGTAGTCCAAAGTGCTGAACGTTCCTAAATAATTTGGTACAGAAGCACAAGAATAGACTTGACTTCCTTCCTCCAAGGGGGAGGGTGTGTGACCTAGCTAAGCCTGGCAGGGTAGCTTACTCTATGACATTGACCTTGTCTTGGGTTCATTAGCCTTAAGCATTTTGATTATATAAGGCTGGTTATCTCATACCCTTAAGGTTACCTAGTCCAACCCCCTGCAGTGCAGGAATCTCAACTAAAGCATCCAGGACAGATGGCCATCCAGCCTCTGCTTAAAAACCTCCAATGAAGGAGAGTCCACCACCTTCCAAGGGAGTTTATTCTACCATCAAACAGCTCTTTACTACCAGAAAGCTCTTGTTGCTGTTTAATAACAGCCCAGACACTGTTCAGCCTGGACCCTGAGGTCCAGCTCCAAGGGCCTTCTGGCAGTTCCCTCACTGCGAGAAGTGAGGTTGCGGGGAACCAGGCAGAGGGCCTTCTCAGTAGTGGCGCCCGCCCTGTGGAATGCCCTCCCATCAGATGTCAAAGAAATAAACAACTATCTGACTTTTAGAAGACATCTGAAGGCACTCCTTGATTGTGAAAATTTTAATGTCTAATGTTTTACAATTTTTTATGTGCTATATGCTGCCCAGAGTAGCTGGGGAAACCCAGCCAGATGGTCAGGGTATAAATAATAAAATTCTTCTTCTTCTTCTTCTTCTTCCTCTTCTTCATACAAGGTTACAGGTTCTCCAAACTCGGGCTGCTGTCCTGTGCATACCCACTTTCCTGGGAATATGTTTCTGAATGGAGGTGGTGTGCTTGTGGATGTTACTGTTACATGGACATACAGTGGTACCTCTGGTTACGAACGCTTCAGGTTACAAGCTCTGCTAACCTGGAAGTCGCTGCTCCTGCTTGCAAACTTTGCCCCAGGATGCGAACGGAAATCCATTAGCGAAAGCGCACCTCAGGATAAGAACGGTTTCAGCTTAAGAACGGACCTCCGGAATGAATTACAATGGTGCCCCGCAAGACGAATGCCTCGCAAGACGGAAAACCCGCTAGACAAAAGGGTTTTCCGTTTTGGAGGTGCTTCGCAAAACGAATTCCCTATGGGCTTGCTTCGCAAGACAAAAATGTCTTGCGAGTTCCTGCGGGTTTTTTTTCCTTCCCCCCCCCTTTTTCCCAAGCCGCTAAGACGCTTATCAGCTGATCCTAAGCCGCTAAGCCGCTTAACAGCTAAGCCGCTAAGCCGCTTATCAGCTGATCCGCTAAGCCCGCTAAGCCGCTAATAGCGCTAATCCGCTAAGCCGCTAATGGGCTTGCTTCGCAAGACGAAAAAACCGCAAGACGAAGAGACTCGCTGAACGGATTCTTTTCGTCTTGCGCGGCATCACTGTAAGTTCGTAACCAGAGGTACCACTGTATATCTGGCCATTCTGATAGATGGTCCTTTAGCCTGATCCTGCAGGCACCTCTCATGTTATGTTCTTACTGTACTCAGTGTGGATTATTTTTGACCAAACATGCATGCTTTTGCACTCTGTCAGTCCATTCACTTCCAGCTTTGTGATGCCTTTTCTGGTGAACTAAGTCTGGAAGAATAGCCTGACTGACAGAATCACTCATGCAAAGATTATTTGAGTTTGACATGTCCCCCTTACAAGAGACACAGATAAATTGTACTGAATTAACAGTGAACTTTCTGGCGGTTCCAGTGAATGTTTCCGATGTATCTCCAGATTTCAACTCAATATAGCTAGAATGATCTTCAGCAAGTGGAATGAGCTGAGTCTGGAGGTGGGGTAAAGGAGGAATTTGTTCAGCCCGCTTTTCACAACTGACTGACTCAACTGAATGGTTGCAAACATATGATTGCAGTTTAGAACCAAAACTTGATTGTTCATTACAACACAACTCCAGATTGTGTTATGTACTTTTTTGGATTTTGCAATGTAGTTTTGGTCCATGAAATGTGCACACAAAATGGGGCACATGGCCATCCATCATGGATGCTTTAGTTAAGATTCTTGCATTGCAGGGAGTTGGACTAGATGTTCCTTAGGGTCCCTTCCAACTCTACGGTATAAGGCAGGGGTCTGCAACCTTTAAGACAAAAAGAGCCACTTGGACCCGTTTCCGAAGAAAAAAAAACCTGGGAGCCACAAAACCATTGCGATCTGAGAGCAGGCGGGAAGGTGACGTCGGGACGGTGCGTGACTAATGCATGCACCGCCCCCATGCGATGTCACAGCCAGTACAGCGCCCGCCACAGTGGGGAGTGTCGGGGCGCACAATGCGCCTCCTCCCCTCGCTAGTATCCGCCCCGGAGCTGCGGCAAAGGTGTAAAAGAGCCACATGTGGCTCCGGAGCCACGGGTTGCAGACCCCTGGTATAAGGAAACAGGTCTCTCAGGTAATCTGGTCCATGCTTCCCACTGGATAGGTTATCCTATGTTCTTCCAGTCATGACTGGCAACCACCATCTTTTCTTCTCTTGGCTGCTTTAATATCATGTTGTACTTGTATGTCTATGAATGGTTGTTCCTGTAGTACCTGTGTGTTATGTTTACACGTGTGTGTGTGTGTGTGTGTGTGTGTGTGTGTGTGTGTGACAGAGAGACAGAGAGAAACCAGGCCCTGAGCTGTAGAGACCATTATATAAGTACCAGCAGCTTGAACTTGGACCAATAGTGGATTGGCAGCCAGTGCAGTCCCACAAGTAGCATGTTATATGCTGATGGGTAGTTTGCTCTCACAAACAACCTAGCCGTTGCATTTTGTACCAGCTGCAGCCTCCACAACAACCCCAAGAGCAGCCCCACTTAGAACAAATTGCAGTAATCCAACCATGAGGTTACCAATGCATGGACAATGTATGGAGCATATGGAGGCTGACTGATTTATCCCTAGTCTGGGGTCTGGACATGTGTACCATCAAAATCTGCTGGGGGTGCGAGGGACTTGTATTGACAAACACCTCTCTCTCTCTCTCTCTCTCTCTCTCTCTCTCTCTCTCTCTCTCTCTTTGGAATTGACCCTAACCTAAATGAGACAAAGACTCTCAATTATACCATGTTTTTGTTTGATGTAATTACACGGTCAAAGATTCTTTGGCCCCTTCTTACATGAAAACACACACACAAACAGAAACAAATGCAGGAAGAGCAGCAACAGAATGATGCCAGCAGCATCCTCATTCACTTCCCCCCAGTCCCTGTTCAACATTATGAATGCAAGCCTGCATAGCACATCATTTTCCTAATCATGTAGTACTATTGAAATGCTTTGCTAAAATTATAAGCATTAACCAGCATGCAAAATCATACAATAGTGTTGCTGTCACTGGCAATTTTACAACCCTTCAAAAGAAATCAGCTTGGGGTGTGCGGTTATTTATTTATTTATTTATTTAATCAATCTCCCTCCTTCCTATTGTGGCAATTGCCCCCTCTTTTATGAGGTCAGATGATTTAGTCATAGTGTCAAAGCTCATGAGGGGCAAAGTAGTGGAATCAGGCAATGAATGTGGAACACTGACATCATGCAGAGTGCAAAAGTAAGATCAGTGCCAGGATTAATGACAGTAAAGATGCCCTGATCAACAGATGCAGAGAATCTCAGAGGCAGTACCATAGACCCAGACAGTGGCAGGTCCCATTTCACTGGCTCAGGCCACCCTCTCCCACTGCCTCCCTCACAGAATCCTAACTTACCTGGGTTGTTTGGCAGTGGTTTCTGGGTTCTCACAAGATCTCGCGAAAGGTCTATGATATCTTGCTGGAACCTGGAATATGCCACTTGTCCTCTTATATTTTGCCACCTGCGGCAGTTGCCTCAATCCGGCTCTGGACCCAGAGTCCTGACCAGTGGAAGAAAGGGTGGATTCCAGGACCAAGGATGGGGCAGAAATGTAAAGTGATGCATGTTAGACTGCAAACCTTAGAGTCATAAAGGATAGTTCAATGAAGGTGTCGACTCAGTGCCCAGCTTTGTGAAAAAAGCAAATTCCATTCTAGGGATCATTAGGAAAGGAACTGGAAATAAAACTACTGATTTCAAATTGCTGTTAAGATGCAACCACGTTTGGAATACTGTGTGCAGTTCTGGTTGCCTCATCCAAAAATGTAAATTGTAGATGTAATGGTTTGGAAAAGCACAACCAAAATGATCAAGAGGGTGGAACGATTCCCTTGTGAAGAAAGGTTGGTGGGTTTGGGACATTTTAGTTGAGAGAAAATGCGAGTAAGAGGTGCCATGATAGAAGTGTATGTAACTATGCATGGCATGGAGAAAGTGGATAGGGAAAAGTTTTTCTCCCTCTCTCATAACACTAGAACTCATGGACATCCAATGAAGCTGAATGTTGAAAAATTCTGGGAACTGTAGTTTCCATTTGGGAATTATAGCTCAGTCAGAGGTAAAGTACGGTAAACTAAATGTACTTTGAATGAGTGGTTATGAGCTACCAAAGGCAGTTAACAAATATTTGCGTGATATTCAGAAAATACACAGAGGGTATTAATTTGACTTCAAATTATTTAGAGGAGAATTTGGAGAAATAATTTCTCTCTGCTTTTCCTCTTCATATCCTAACTGCCTACTACTACATCCTACTGTGAATAAGGGGCCATAGTTTTTAGTAGTTTTAAGGTAACCCGGGACATGGGTGGCGCCGTGGTCTAAACCACTGAGCCTCTTGGGCTTGCCAATTGGAAAGTCAGCAGTTCAAATCCACGGGACGGTAGTGAGCTCCTATTGCTCTGTCCCAGTTCTTGCCATCCTAGCAGTTCAAAAGCATACCAGTGCAAGTAGATAAATAGGTACCACTGCGGCAGTGGTGCACTCTGACTTCCGTCTTGGTGCCGAATTGTGCCAGAAGCAGTTTAAGCATGCTGGCCACATGACCCAGAAAGCTGTCTGTGGACAAATGCCTGCCCCCTTGGCCTGAAAGCGAGAGGAGTACCGCACTCTATAGTCACCTTTGACTGGACTTAACCATCCAACCTTTTTACCTTAGTAGGTTTCTACCTCTAACAGTATATGGAAAAAAATCTGCAAAAGAAAACCAGGAATATTTCAGTTCTGTAATCAGTGTAATAATAGTCCCCCCCTTTTTTAAAAAAAACCCTGCACATTAGGCTAATGTTTTCCCCAAGTGATCCAACTGTGTATGAGCAATGTTTTCTCTGACCGTAGACCGGTATGTCTAATGCTGAAGCCACAGCTGGTAAGTCCTGGGTGCCGTTTTGCCTGCAGCATTTGAATTTGTAAGCCAGGGTAGTGACATGAGTGACACGTGAGTAGGAGGGAATATGACAGACAGGATCAAAAGTAATTGCTGAGTGTGATGCACTTACAGATTTTCCTCTTGTTAAGCCTGCTTCTCTCCCCAGTGCTTCCTCTCCATCTGTTACTTTATCAGCTTTTGGGGAGAGAATAGACACCAGTCCTTGAAATCTTATAGCAAAATGTCCTCCATGAGGAACTTCCATATTAGGAAAGGTACTGTAGCAGCTTCTGGGACTCCTTAGTTTAAAGAAAAGGCAATAAAAGAGGCAGCATGATAAATGTTTTATGATACGATACAATATGATATCTTTATTGTCATTGTCCCATACAGAACAATGAAACTGAAAAATCTACATAAGACATTCAAAAACCCCTAAAAACTCTGAAAGCCCATTTTAAAATACAATATACCATAGAGACTCCTTATACTGCATTTAAAACCAGAATTGCATTTGGATAGAAACTGTTTCTTAGGCGGCTAGTCCTGCTCTTTATAACCCTATACCTTCTTCCAGAAGGCAGAAGCTGAAAGAGATAATTTCCGGGGTGCGTACTATCCTGCGCTATCTCTGCAGCTTTCTTATGGCACCTGACAGCATAGATTTGATCTAAGGTGGGAAGAGTGCACCCAATTATTCCCTCTACAGTCTTTACAACCCTGGACAGCATTGTTTTTTCCCTGGCCGTGCAGCTCCCAAACCACACACACTGACCATAAGTTAATACACTCTCCACAGTACAATGGTAAAATGCCATCAACAGGTCCTTTTCCAGAGGATTCTCAGAAAATATAACCTCTGCTGTGCTCTCTTCATTAGGTCTTTGCTGTTTTCTCCCCAGGTTAGGTCATCTCTCAACTCCATTCCCAGAAATCGAAACACCGAGACCTGTTCCACACACTTCCCCTCAATAATAAGTGGCTGAATATTCAATTTACATTTCCTAAAGTCCACAATAATCTCTTTTGTTTTCTTTAAGTTAAGGAGTAAGTTGTTTTTCCTGCACTACTCCCCCAACTGCTCAACTTCCTTCCTATAGGCCACCTCCCCCTCTCCAGCCGTGATTAAACCAACCACCGTTGTATCATCTGCAAACTTAATGATCTTATTACTGGGGTATTTGGGGGCACAGTCAGCTGTATAGAGCATATATAAAAGCAGGCTCAACACGCACCCCTGCAGCATCCCCATATTCATGATGAGATCCGCAGAGACGTGGGAACCCAACCTGACCCTTTGGGAACGGTTTGATAGAAAATCTAATATCCACCTGCACAAACACGGTGGAAGTCCCAGGTCTAATAATTTGGGCACCAATCTATGCAGAATAATAGTATTAAATGCAGAACTGAAGTCTACAAATAACAGTCTCTCATAGTTCCCTTGATTCTCCAAATGAGTCAGGACAGCGTGTAAAGCCATTGCTGCAGCATCCTCCGTGGATCTCTTTGCCTTGTACGCAAACTGGTAAGGGTCAAGTCTCACTGGCAGACAAGATAAGATGCGGTTCCTCACTAGTTTTTCGAAACATTTCATTATAATGGGTGTCAACGCCACAGGGCGAAAATCATTCAGACTGTCTATCTTTGATTTTTTTGGCAGGGGTATAATGGTAGCAGATTTCAGACAGGGTGGAACAGTGGCTTGGGCCAGAGACCAGTGGCGTAGCGTGGGTTGTCAGCACCCGGGGCAAAGCAAGTAATTTGCGCCCCCTAACCCGTGGATTTGCGCCCCCTAACCCTAACCCCCAGATGTTGCGCCCGGTGCGGCCGCCCCCCCCTGCACCCACCACGCTACGCCACTGCCAGAGACTGGTTAAAAATCTTTGTAAAGATTCCTGCCAGTTGGTCCAAACAATCTCTTAGCACCCTGCCAGCCACCCCATCTGGGACCATACCTTCCTCATGTTTATCTCCTTTAATATTCACCTCACTTCTCCCTTTTCCACCCTGGCAGCATTTCCTGTAGGTAGTGACGCCAATAGCTCTGGCATCCCTGTTGGAGTCACTGTTGATGTCACCTCAAATTGGGCAAACAAGGTATTCAACTCTTCCATCAAGGAAGCAGTACTCTCTACCACTGATGAATTTCTCGATTTATAACCAGTCAGATGTTACTCCCTGCCACATTTGTCTAGTATCGTGATTTCTCAGATGGTCCTCAATTTTTCCTCTGTACTCCGCTTTTGCTTTCCTGATACCCCTCTTCAAGTTCACTCTTTCTATACCATACAATACCCAGTCCCCAGTTCTAAAAGCAGAGTTTCTGGCCTTCAATAATCTCCTAACCTCTCCCGTCATCCAGGGTTTTCTATTCGGATACAACTTAACATACTTTTCCCTGGTGACATTTGCTGTGCAGAATCTAATATAATCCAGGACCGTTGATGTATAAGTTTCTAGATCTTGATGGTCGAACATATTCCAGTCGGTCTCCTGGAAACAGTCCTGCAACTGCTGAGAGGCTCCCTCAGGCCACACCGTAACCATCTTTGTTTGTATCTGGCCTTGTTTCCTGAGGGGTGTGTATACTGGTGTCAGAAGCAGGGACACATGATCTGAACCACCAAGGTGCACCAAGGTCATGACCTCATATGCCCTTCTAATGTTCGTATACACCTTGTCAAGAGTATTTTCCCTCCTTGTTGCACACTCAATGTGCTGATGGAATTTTGGGACTACTGTCCTCATGTCTGTGTGATTGAAGTCCCCCGCAATAATGTGCACTGTCTCCGGGTATCTGCTCAATTTAGCATTGATGTTTTCATGCATACTACTCATGGCCCTGCATGCATTTGCAGTTGGTGCTATGTACACCGCTGTTAACACCACTGTTGTAATTTTTTAAAATTATGCACAGCATAGAGAAAGTGGCGAGAGAAAAAGTTTTTTTCTCTGTCTCATAACACTAGAAGTCATGCACACTCAATGAAGCTGAATGTTGGAAGATTCAGGACAGATAAATGAAAGCGCTTATTCACACAGTGCATTGTTAAACTGTGGAACTCACTCCAGCAGGAGGCAGTGATGGCCACTGGCTTTAAGAGGATTGGACAAATAAGGCTATGCTTTGCTTCCACAGTTGGAAGCAGTAATGCTTCTGAATACTAGTTCCTAGAAATTGCAGGAAAGAAGAGTGCTTTTGTGCTTGTCCTGCTTGTGGATTTCCTACAAGCATTGTCCTGCTTGTGGATTTCCTACAAGCATTGTCCTGCTTGTGGATTTCCTACAAGCATGTAAGTGGCCACTGTGAGAATAGGATGCTGGACTAGATGGGCCACTGGCCTGATTCAGCAGGCTGTTATATTCTTATGAGGATTTGTGAAAGGAGATTCCACATGCATTAAAACAGGAGTGAGGACGCACTGTGGGCCAGATTTAGCCTGCTAGGCTTCCCCATGTGGCCCATGTGGCTGTTTCCCTCAGACATGACCACCTGCAACACTTGATATCATACATGATGTGAGGTGTGTAATAGGTAGAGACATGGTTGGATTTGCTATGTAGGAGAAAAGTAGGATTGAATTGAGGAGCAAGGAATTTCAAACATGGGGGGGGGAGGCTGTTTCAATGGTTTGCGACAATAAAGTTTTAAATGAACAAGGGAGTTCAGTGCTAAGAATTTTTTTCCCCTGATCAAAGCGCTGCTTAGAAATTGAAAGTAACCTCCATTTGATCCTGTGGCAATTATATTTTAGTTAGGAAAAATAAATTAGCTTAATGTTCTCTTTCCTGTTTTACACTTGTTAAACTTAATAAATGTTAGTTTATTTAGTAATTATTTTTAATTGCTATTAGCAGTTCATACCCTTTTGTTTGTTCCCTTTTCCCTCCTATGAAAACTACTCAAGACACTCTTTTAAAGTTTAAATAACAATAACTTTTACTCTCAGTGTCCTTGCACTTGTTAGATAAAATATATATGTAGAAGGCAGGCAAATCACTTATGCTACTAATGTATTACATAGATTCATCACTAAGACTCAGACGCTTACAGATTCTTATTCTGAGGCAAATAGCAGCAGAACAGAACAGACCTATTGCTCAGCTGCTCTAACAACACAAAAAGACTATTATAAACTGATTTAATGTCAGGAGCTGGAGTCAAGCGTTGGTCAGCAATCAAAGAAAAACATGGTGTCAGTGAAGTTAACTCTTTATTCAATACACCAAAACAGCACAGGCCTAGTGATTCCAGCAACTCTTTCCAGGAGGTCTTGCTCCAACAATGCAGTTGTGAGACCTTTCCGCCACTTCCTAAGGCTCTTCCTCTACAGGCTCTTTCCCAAGCAGTCGCAAACTGCACCTGTGCACAACCCCTCTCTGCTCTGCCCTCTTCATTTCTCTGTGTGTTCTAAGAGAGCAGGGGGGAGGAGAGCTGGTTGCAGAAGAATGAGGAGACTCCTGGCTTCTTCAGCAGCCTTCTTCTGGTCAGCCCCCAAAGGAACCATACTAAGTTTGGAGCTGATTTATTTGGTGGAGCATTCAATTGCCATTGTATAGTTTCTTCTGCAGCAGCTTGCCTCATTTCTGTCTCTCCCCCCCCCCCCCCACCTCTCCAGCCTCCTCCTCTGCCTCTGGTTCTGGACTGCTCTCTGCCCCAGACTCTTCCTGCTTACCAAACCCTGTTGCCTCTTCAGCTTCTGACACCCAGCCTGCTCCCTCTTCTCCCTCTGACCATTCATTGTCATCCCACCAACCAATCCCCTGACTCTGAGCCTTCTTCCCTTGCAGGTTACCCAGCTGGTGCCCCCACCACTCCTTTGCATCCAGCCAGTCCAGGACACAAGGTATATGACCTCACAAGATTTTTTTCTTAGAATGTTGCAGCCCTTGTGTGTATTAATCCTTTCCTTAGCATTTTGGATGTTTGTATCATGTATGTGTGTGTGTGTGTATGCTTTTTATTAGTTTTTTTACTTAACAAAAAGTTAACAAAAATAATAACAAAAGGAAAAGCCTACATCCATGCACATCTCACAGATACTTCCCCTGTGGGGAAGGACTTTGTTTCTTTGAAATGGGCTATGCCTATTGGTTCTCATGTTACAATAAGAGATAAGGCTATGAAGATCTCATGGCGGAGACGGGAGATGTAATAAGACTGGATTGTTAATAAGATCAAAAATATTCAGTATGGCAAGTATACCTTTGGATATTCCACTGACTGCTGGCGTTCTTTAGCAAATGTTTGCTGAGCAAATAAAATTGATTAGATCAAAGATTGATGAAATGGGGGGTGAAAGTAAACTAGGGACAAATGAAATGAACAGCTGAATCAAAGATGATACAGAGACTTTGGAGAAGAATATGGATAAAGGACTGGCAGAGGTTGAAATGGTAGAGTTGGAGGAAACAAATGGTGAAATGGAAAAGTCCTTCACAGAGGTGTTTGGAAGAATAAAACAGCCAAATGGAAGAGTTGTGATTCTGGAGGAATGGCTCTGTGTACAACTAGGATTAAACTCAGAGGAAAAAGCTATCAGATCTCTGGCGCTCCTTTGGAAAAAGAATGGAAGAAATGGAAATATATGATTTTAGTCATATATGGAAAACAATGGCAAACACAACAGGTGCTGAGAGCTGAAGAAACAAAAATGGATGCGAATTCAACCCTGCTTGCTGTTTATCTGCCCACACCCATGTAGGTCAACTTTGATAGGTGGGTGAGACAATCCATCTGTCAGTTAACTGACATTATAACAGCAGTTGATTTACAATTGGGTGGTCCTGCCCACCTGTCAAAGTTGGCTTACAGTAGAGTGTGAGATAGATCTGCTCTGCCCTGTAGAAACTTGCCCTGGAACCTGATGGATAATAAATATAATAAAAACAGTACACTGAAGGTTTCTGCCTGATGTCCACAGGCAGGGGGTTCCAAAGCAAGTTTTCCCCTTTATTTGATGGACCTTTGGAGGCATGCAGAGTAAATCCCTGCACACTTTACATCCAGGGTGAGCAACCTTTTGGAGCTTGAGAGCTACATTCCCTGTGAGCAAAAGTTCTCAGCCTCCCAAGCTCAAAAATAGTTTTTGGTGAGGTGTGGAGGATCAGATCCTGCAGCCAAACATATTATGAGTGGGATTTGTTGTGGAAGCTGTTGTACCCCTGTGAGAACAGGATGCAGAACTGGATGGGCTTTTGGCCTGATCCAGCAGGTCTCTTCTTATGTTCTTATATAATTATCAATTTCACTAGCGTCACTACCCTGCAGGTCAAAGGCTAAAGGACAAACAATGCTCCTTTCCCAGACTAGATGCTATAGGGGTGAGCAAAGAAGGGTTTGCTTGCAACAAGTCTCATTACATTCTTCTACTTATTACATCTTCCAAAATACAGGCAGCTCCCACAGTCTTCAAGGAAACACTCACTCTAGAGATGACTTTTAAAGAGCCAGAGAGTCCCATCTAAAGATTTGAATTGGCCCTTTAAGAAAAGTGCTTCCCTCTCTTGCCCCCTGCTGTGACTTTCATCTTTAATTCATGAAGCACAACTGCACTTAGTGACGAAGAGCACCTGATGAGCTGGCAAAGTTCTCATGTGCTTTTATGCAAGGTTCCCTAGAAATAAAAAAGTTGCTACAGTAGAAATCACATGAAATCCTATTCTTCTTTGTTTGTTGCTGTGTCAGAAGCATACAGTAGGAGATTGCACAATTTGGGATAAGCATTACCCCCTCCCCCGCCCATCCCTGTTCTCTTTGGACTAGAAGCAAAGCGACCCAGGTACAAATGCCCACTCACCTGCAAAGCTCATCAGGTGACCTTGGCGCTGTCACCCTCTTTCCACCAAGCTTACCTTGCAGGGTTGTTGTGAAACTGCTCAGCAGAATGATATGAAACCTCTGTTCCTGGTGTTAGGAAACGCTTATCTACAATCAGGTTGATACCTTGAACATTGTGATTCATAACTTGCCTTCCAGAAGGGCTAGATACATACATTTTTTTTTTTTAAATGAAAGCTCAGACTTGGGGCCCCTTGCAGGCATTGGCCCTAGTGCAATTATGCTGATTATACCATTGATAATCTGCCCTTGCTCCCTGCTGAAATCCTGTAACAGTGTAACTTCTTATACCACAAATGGTGTGGTTCATTTTTCTTGTTTTGCTGCAGCCCCTCCGGATAGCAATAATGAGGTAGCACTGGGGAAGCATTGCAAGAACAAACTAAAGTGGAATAAGCTCACCACTAATACACTATTACTGTGTCAAGAACATATTGCAGAATGCACCTGCAATAAAACACCAGTCTGGAAGGGCCCATTAACAACATCACACTGGCCCCAAGTGTCATGGTGGGATCTATATTGTTTTATTTCTGGCTCCTTTAAATAAGTTATGTGTTTGCAGAAGTGGGGACATATTCCACTAAATTCATGGGTGCCAGATCTTCTCCATAATTCCTGAATTTGGTAAAAGTTAGAATAAATCAAGGTTTGCTTAAACTGCCAAGCACGGAACCCCCTGGATATAATTTTGCTAACAAGGCAATCCAGCTCAGCAGAGGCAGCTGGATGGGCCATTAGCATAGGATGAAGTCCAGTGATGGCCCATCAAGGAAACAGTCAGAGGGCAAGACTGCCAGGCAAAGGAGAGTGGAGACCCTCTTTGCTGGGTGCTGGTAGGCAGAGGCAAAGGTCTAGTTTAGGGTTTCAACTTTGAATGAGGCAGGCTGGCCAGAGGTCCTTGGAATAGCTTAGCAGCAAGAAGGAGAAGGAGCAGCAGAACTCCATGTGAGCTGGGGATGACTGGCTGGAACTAAGAGACGCAAAGAATGGATTTTTGTGCCAGTCCCCCATATGATGTGAATGCTCTGTGATCCCTCCATTTGGGGAAAGGTATAAATGTGTAAATAAAACCATATATCATAAAGACACTACAGTCTCTGATGTGCCTCATTGTACCCAAAGGGTACACAGACTCTGGTAAGTGCGCCTGCAACCCCTGGAGTCTCGCACCACTTGGAGATTGGGGTGGTGTGTTACAAAACCCATTCAGTGTGTCACAGGTCCTACTTGAAGGGAGGCAGCAAGTCTGGGTTATTCAGAATTCTAGCATCCAGAAGGAAATACAGAGAAAAAAATTGGAAGCATCCCTGTGAACTTGGACATGGTAAGCCTGTTTTACATTTCATATTGCAGTATCCTTTCGGTGCCACCCTCCTTATATCGGCATCACTGCCGCTTACCTGGGGAATACAGAGGTGACGCAGGGCACTGGTGAGGTGTAGGCTGTGCAGGACCACTGACAGAGTCTAACTGGTGCTTCTCCCTGGTGCGTCTCTGCAGCCCCCATGTAAGGCCTAAAAATGACCTCATGGTATAATTGAAGATATGTTTAGTATGCCTAATGGTATGAATGGAGATATGTCTGAAGTGTGAGTACAACCAGATGGTATGTGACACTGAAGATAAAAATAAAGATAGGGACTGCTTGATTCTGAAGATCAAGATAGACATTGCTTGATTTTGAAGAAAACAGGAAAGATGGACAAACTGGTGGAATGGACAAGCAGGATGTGCCGGATGAAGTCACAGGACATGTAGAGGACATATTGAAATTTTAAAAAAAAACTTCTGAAAGGACATGATGAGTCAAAGGACATGCAGAGGACATGCTGAGACAAGTTACCTCTGGGTTAACCCAGAGGAAGAGCCGGACTGTGCTTTATGTGCGTGCCTGGCCCAGCGCCTGGTCCGGCAGACAGCAGCCGCTGTTCTCAAAAGACATGTTGGGACAAATAACTATTCATAACTATCTGAGGAATCAGCCTGACAACAGCTATCATCTAGTCCAACCCCCTGCAATACAAGACAATGCAGCCATACGAGGACCGAACCTGAAACTATAAAACAGCTGGTAAAAGCCTGGTACAGCGCGTTGCTTACCTGCTGCTGCAGAGGTGGCCGTCCACAGACTTTTAAAAAAGATTGATCACCTTTTTTAGTGGGTCCATCCATCTGTTGAGTATGAATGAAAGGAGTGAATGAGTTGTTATTAGTTACTACCACCATAATCAACTACCTCTAATCAATAAAAGGGTTATTTCTAAGATTTGTGCCATTTTGTTTCTTCTTGAAAACGCTCTGATCTAAAAGAATCTCCTGTCATTAGACTTATGACAGAACTGGCGACGAGGATGGGATCAGTAGCAATTTGAAAGAAAAGATATAATGGCTTCTAAAAAAATAATTTGCGGGGGGTGGAGTACCTAGACGAGCAATGGGGAAGGACTCTAAAGAACAGTTGAAAGATTTTTTGTATGGGGAAATTTTTTTTGGGGGGGGGGGAATCAGACCAGGAGGAATTGGGATTGGCAAAGTACTCCGAAATCAGGTCATGGCCACAAATGGCTAAGAAATATAAAGAAGGCTTGGTGCTGCAGGAACAGCCCATGAGCTAAAGATGTTGGAAAAAGAGGATGCCTCTTTAAGAAGTGAAATACAAACTCTGCTTGAGTATAAAACAGGACAACCAGGTGAAAACTTAGGATACACCTGGGAAGATAGAATAAGAGAGCGCTGCTCTTAAAAATGAGATACAAACTCTGCTTGCGTATAAAAAGAGGGAGACTGAAAACACCCAGGAAGAATATAAAGTCCTAGAAACCAGCAGACATGCTGGATAAGAAAACGGGGTAAAAGATCCTTTACAGAAAAGGGACATGGCATTATGTTTTATGGAAGATTTGTTGGATTGGCTTATACATAATGCCCAGAACCAATGAACTTTAATAGAGTTGAACTCAGTGAAATGGCTGCACAAGTAAAGGTTTTGAAAATCTTGGTAAAAGGAGGAAGAAAAAAATTGAGAAAGTAAAGTGTGGAGCATATAGAAAAGGAAATGCTGCAACAGAAGCTTCTCCTTCAAGGAGAAAACCTGTTAAAAATTATGAAGATGAAGCAGAAAATTTACATATGGAAATAGAACGGAAGGTAAATGAGGGCATATAAGAAAGACCCATGTGAAGGATTTGATTTCTTTGGTTGTGATGATGGTTGTGAGGACGATCCCTGTTGTGTTAAGGTATTCACAAGCCTCAGTGTTACATATGGGGGAACAGGAGAGCAGGGCAAAGACAGTTACAGACAGTTACTGAAGTACAGGAACAGATGACAACTGGGGAATTAAGGGAATTAAAAACCCAAGTAGAAGGGGAAAGTTCTACTGTAGGAAAAACAGTTAAGCTGTCAGAACAGATATCGAAACATGGGCTTACCCCTGAAGAAGTTAATAGATTAATGAGAATGATTAATGGAATGGGAGAGCATGTAAGCACAGTCCTACATTTAGGAATAAATTTAGCTTTAAGGGATTACATGGGGGAGACAAGTCTCCCCAAAGCTAAAAAGCAAGTTTTGTATTGGACTTAAAAACCGGAGAAAGATCCTATTGCCTTTTGTTTATGCCTATATAGATATATATACAGTGGTACCTCTGGATACGAACGGGATCCGTTCTGGAGCCCCGTTCGCATCCTGAAGTAAACATAAGACGCAACTGCGTGTGCACGGATTGTGTTTCACCGCTTCCGCGCATGTGCGTGATGTCATTTTGAGCATCTGCACATGTGCGAGTGGCGAAACCTGGAAGTAACGCGCTCCATTACTTCCAGGTCGCCGCGGAGCTCAACCCAAAAATATTCATCCCGAAGCCATTTCAACCCGAGGTATGACTGTGTAGATATAGATATATGGGAATGTATTATGCAGATTTGATAGAGCCGAGGAGTGGAGCAAATTGGGAAAATAGTAAAATGGAAGAAGTAGCAAACACAATACAGGATGTAGATGTTTTAAAAATGCCCCTTGATGGAACAAAAGTAGGAATAAAATATATGATAGGAATCCAGAGACCATACTGGCCTTGCTCATGGCCAGAACTCATGGCCATGACCTAGACATTTGCAAGCAGGTTTATATCAGAAATTTGATAAGGAATATCGCCCAATTGCGTATGCCTCTAGAAAACTGAATAAGCTTGAATTGACATATGATGAATGTGAAAAGGCTTCTACTGCCACTGTTTTACAGTGTACAGTGCCAGGCTTTAGTTCTACCAAATTAGCTCAATGGACTGTTTATTTAGCACAAAAGGGTGTGGTGTCTGAAACTATTAAAATACCAGTCCTTATGGTATCTATTGTAGAAACTGGCAGTACCTATGATTGTTCACCTGTGCTCCCAACAGAAATTGTGAATATACCCAAAGGCGAATGGAATTCACTGTCTGAAAGCAATTGTGTAATATTTATAGATGGAAGTTGGTATCAAACTGGCTCCCAAATAATAAAATGGGCTTGGCTTTTGGCAGGAACAGAATGATTCTATTGTGGTATTATTGAAGGACAATGTAGTGTACAAGATGCCAAAGTCTTGGAAGTGATATCAGCCTTAAGACAGAAATCTGAACTCTTACAAGAGTGTGATAAAAAAAAAAAATGGGCTAAAGATAATTGGATGACAGGGAAAGGAAAGGTAGAAAGATTAAACCAGACCAAAAAAAAAAAAAAAAAAAAAGAATGTTGAGAAGATTAGGGGGGAAAATCTGGGAAGGATTGGGATGAAAAATTGCCCACTGTATTGACAGCTATAAGAAGCAGCCCAAGAGGGATAGCAGGATTGTCCTCCTATGAGAGATTATTTGGATTTAAAATGTCTTTGGGATTTCCTGTCACAGTATTGGATATGGAACAAATGGAAGAATCAGAAATTAATTTCTTACAACTTTTAAAGGAGAGTGAATTTATGAGGCAAGAAATACATGAAACTTGGTTATAAGCAGATAATTTGAACGAAGCAATTAAAAGGGAAAATATTATGTTACCAGTTTGCTTACAAGTAATGGATATGATTTAGGAGCCAAGCAACACCTTGGTGGTGGGGTCCATAAGCCATATTGGATTTTATTTATCCCTGTTCTTGTCTTATACGGATGGATGGTGAAAAACAGAAATGGGTACACTGAAATCATTAAAGCCTTTTTCAATTTCTCTAGGTTGATGCCTGATGAAGGATGTTGAATAATGATTATGTATTTCTTTTCCCCCCTTTTTTGGTCTTTTTCTTTCTGTGTCTGTGTGACTCTATGTTTGTCTTTTTCTGTGGTCGACCAAAGAAACAAGAGGATATTGAGCTCCAACAACTGAAAAAATGGGAGGACCTTTACCAAGTGTAAGAAAGGAAGTAACCAGAAACCATTATCATTCGCCAACTGAAACAGGGAATAAAACACTATCCCTAATAACATTAAAACACAACCAACGTACATTTCAAACTATTTTAGTACCAAGAAAACATCCAGTGGTTGTGTTTACAAGAAGAGTAGGGGAAAGAGAAGAAGTATTGGTGAAATATCCTATGTTACAACCTGCATTACTTAGCCATTTTGACCTAGAAGAGGAAGAAAAACATTTTTGGTTTATTTCCACATCATTTAGGTTATTATTCTTAGAGGATTGGGATTAATACCTTCCTGGAAAAAATAGTTTGTGACAATACATGGTGTTTGGGTCTTCTTTAGTATAATTGTATATGCAAAAATAAGGAGAAAAATACACCTTCAGTTATTAAACTTTGTCATGAAAGATGGAGGGCATTGTTTTAACCCTTATTGCACCAATAGGATATAAAATTCAGTATGTCAGGCTTAGATGTGTCTACCTCTTTGCCATTTTGTAGAAATTATACCAATGAGTTTTATGAATTATTGGCAAAATCTAAATTATTTCAATGGAAACGAGCCCATTCCAGAAGGGATTTGTTGGATACAATCCTGGGAGGAATAGGTACAAGAACAGGAATTGCAAATGCCTATGATATTGAGATACAGGCAAACAAGTTCCTTAGGACGATTACAGTTTCAGATATTGAGATTGCAAGGAGGTGATACAGTTGATTCATACAGGTTACATTTGTTGGAAGCAGGACTCTCAGAAAGAGCCATGCAGGCTATGAATAAAACATTATTTCAAATACCATATTTTTTGCACCATAACACTCACTTTTTTCCTCCTAGAAAGTAAGGGGAAATGTCTGTGTGTGTTATGGAGGGAATGCCTATGGGTGGCATGCCTACGGATTTTCCTCCTCTAAAAACTACGTGCGTGTTATGGTCGGGTGCGTGTTATAGAGCGAAAAATACGGTACTTTATATAAGGAATGAAACTGCTGTGGCTATATGATACTTTACAGTATAACAATTGGCGTGGAATTTGTAGGAACATGTCCATATGTTTTTGCTAGAGAAAAATGTAGAAGGGGTTCTTCGTGCAATGGGTTTACAGAAAAAATGGGCAACTATTGATGTTTGGTATCACCTAGCTATTTATAAATGGGGAAAGGATACGTTGTTTATGAGAATAATATCTTTGTAAAATACCACTCAAGGCAACATTAGGAGAGGACAAATATGTAAAGTTGCAGCAATTCTGGTAGTTACGGACCAAAACTGTATTCTATGGATATGTTATGTGTAAATCTAGTGTGGGCCTTATAAAGGATAATAGGACTTTTGAGCCGAATAGAATATGTCATTTACAAAGGTTAACAAATTAGTAATAATGAAATACGAATCTGCTCTTACTGAATATCATTGGTGGGATATCTTTTATGGCTACTCATTGAAAGCTTCTGCTTTTTTTCTTTTCTTTTTCTTCTTTTTTTTTGAAATCATTTATTCAGCTTACTGTAATTTTACTGTCATTACTTTTATGTGTAATCATATGGTCCTGCATCTTATTTTGATGCTTACAACGTATTAATACTACTATTCAAGTATGTACTGCATTTCTTAAAGAATATATGTGATTTATTATTTATTAATAAATCAAGAAGGGGAGTCTGTGAGGCCTAAAAATGAATTACCTCCATAATCAATAAAATGGTTATTTCTAAGAAGATATGTGTCATTTTGTTTCTTCTTGAAAACACTCTGATCTAAAAGAATCTCCTGTCATTAGACTTATGACACCCATCCTACTCCATCCCTTCTAGCTAAGCTGCAGCAATATCACTGTCAGGAGGGCAGCTTTGCTTCTGTATTAAACCAATTAAACAAACAAGGGAGTTTTCTATTAGGGACATGAAGGAGAAGTTCATTTTGGTTTACATTTTAATATACACCCGCCTAATTGGCACTTCCCAATAAGTACGCAAGCCAAAATGCAGCATTCCTTGGAAATGTGCACTGCTCTGAATTTTACTGTGCAGTGTTCATCAGCCAATACACATTTCCAAAAATGTGTAACTTGAGGAAACCTGAGCATGCAGATTTACATATTAAGGAAAGTAGGATGCTTGCAAAAATGCACATCAAAGGCACAGTTGTGTACAGGAATGCACATATTAAGAGAAATGCACATTTTTTAAAAATCACCCAAAGTAGAAATGGGCAAACTGAACCCGGGAAAAACTAAAATGCATAGATTTTTCCCATTCATACTTTTTATGTCTTTTGCCTTGGCAGATAAGTGTCTATGCCAATCAGCTGATGGTCAAAGCAAAGGGCTAGGGACTAAGTCCAACCCGCGCCCCCCCCCCATACCCAGCCAAACAAATTATCACCGCTATTGCCCATCATCTGCTTAGGCAGTATTAAAAATAAAAATAAAAAATATGTGTGCTGTCTCAGCTCCTGGATCAGGCTTAAGAACAAGACACAGAGCCCCCTCCCCCTGCAGACCATATGAGCCCTAGCAAGCTGAAGATAAGTACAATTCCAATTGCAAACAGCTCTCAGCCAGCTAGATCCAGGCAAGTGTCACTTATAATTCAGCACCACTTATAAAAACTTCAGGAGGAACATGCCAGAGGTAGTAAGCCATTAACCAGGATGATCTACAGCTGTGTGAGCCAATCCTAAGGCCAGTTCCTACTTCCCATTGTAGAAGGTATGAAAACAAAATGGAATGCATTTGCAAACCATGGGTGGGGTCAAGGGTTGGCATGTCAGGCACCTGCTGAAGGACCACAAGAGCCATGCTCACCTGCATTCCACAGAGGTAGCTGGTCTTTAGAGCAAAGCAAGGCAGCAACCCAAAGCCTCCTTTGTTTGAAACAGCTTCCCAATATTGAGCTATACTCTCAGCAGCATATTTCAGTCTTGAGGGCTTAAAAAAACTGATTGGCCTGATACTGTTAGTCCCGGCAGCTTTAATGAGCTGTCTATTGCCTGAAGGGCTGTTGCCTTATTCTGCAGCTGCTGGTTATGAGGGTTGCCAAAAGGGGTGTCTCCTGAGTTGGAAGAGTTGGACAAAGCTGCATCCTCTAAACTGGGCAATCTAGCAGTGGAGGTCGGGACGCTGAGACCTCTTCATCAGAGTCCACCTCTAAGGTGGATTGTAGATTTGTTGCCCAATAATGTGACACCTTGAGGTTCTGCAAGAAGACATGAGAAAGGCAAGAAGCAAAGTTGTGATCCTCCCCATTGCCCAAACTGAGATTACAAGGGGTTTGCTAAAGGTATCCTTTGAGAGACATGGTTGAGAAACCTGTACGCTTTACCCAGCAGCAGTTCCCCACTGAGGGTAAGTGTTGTCTTGGGTTTGAAATTGGTTCACAGAGCTGAAGAAAAACCTTGAAATCTGGAGCTACCTGGCCAGCCAGGCAGCCAGCCCCCCCCCCCCAATTCTGTCTCATTCCCACACCAATTGCATTGCAAGAGTAAACACACAATACAGAGGTCCCATTTGTAAAGAAGAAGAAAAACAGTCTTCGTTAACAGTTTCTTCAAATTTCTAAGGATGGCTTCAGATCTAAGTCAACATGGTGGTAGCTAGTTTCATAGCTGCATTGGGCAGAACCGAGGGAAGCGAGATAGACAGCAAGAAAGAGGAAGAGGGGAGCTTGGCACTTTGGCAGAAAAGCACAAAGTGTATTTCCTCCGGACTATCTGTTAGTCTCAACCCTACCTTCTGCTGACTACCCATGGCTATTCATTTGATGAGAGAAATTAGAGGATTATGCCCTTCTTAATCCAATCTGCATGAATCAGCTAGTGTGTATGCACACAAACACTACCTTGGGTCACCCATCACCATTTGCATACAGCGCCTGAAATGTTGGTCAAGGATTAATGCAGATCTTGGACCAAAGAAAAGGTTACCCACCTCCTGTTCTAAAGGAGAATTATGCTCTCTAGCCAGCTTTTTGAGCTCTTTTGTCCTGAATTCTGGCAAAAGCAACCAGCCCATTTCTTCTTGAAGGCCTGTTAAAATAAATCTGATAAAACAAGTTCGATCAGCCAAGCTCTTTGGGCCTGCCACCCTAACAGGGGACTCAGCAAAGCAAGCACATTTCGCTCCAGGAAAACATTTTATTTAATAAAGTTGACTCTGGGCTGAGTGATGTATGCCATCTGGAGATTATATACTGAATGGAGACACAGCATTCTCTCTCCACTCACTCCCTGCTCTAGAAAGAGCTCAATAAAAATACATTCATAAGTTCAGGGAAGGTTTATGTCATATCCGCAAGAGACATTTAAACTGGATTTTGAATAGGTGGTGACATCACACAGTCTGCATTAGGTCGCTCAAAATGTTAACATTTTTACACTTCCAGATAATTTAATAAAACAGAAACTGGGAATTGGCAGTGCAGCTCCATACATACTCATTCGGAAGTAAGTTCTATGGTGTTCAGTGGCATTTGCCTCAAGGTAGGGATTCTGGAGAAATTCAATTCAGTTCACATTTAAAGGCAACTCTGTGAAATTTGCACTGTGTGTGTGTGTGTGTGTGTGTGTGTGTGTCAAATTGTTATTAAACTTTATCTTTACATATAAATTCCAGATTCCAAATTTGTTATACATTTTTTAAACCTTGACTTTCTGCCTTTCTTTCCATGCTGTTCTTAATCCCATTTACATACTGCATTCTAATAAGCATTTCACCTAAGACTTGTTCTTCTATTTCATGTATTATCATTTTTCGTCCGCTGCTCATATTTCAAATCCTGCTCGCAATTTCATCTGATTATGATATTTTTTTCAGATACCCCAAAAAGGGCTTCCATTCTTCCGTGAATAGTCCATCATGTTGGTTCTTATTTTTGCCGTTAGTTTTGCCAGTTCTGCATGGTCCATTCACTCTAAAATCCATCTTCTTTCATGGGTGTTTTCTCTTTTCAGTTCTGTGCGTACAAGATTCTAGCCATTGGATGACTTCCTGCGAGGCAAGATAGCAAGCACCATGGCCGCACCAAGCTCATGGGGACTACCAGCACCTCCAGGACTGGGATTGCCCCAACGGCAATCCAGCAGAGCTTGGAGGTCTGGAGGCCTCCAAGCTAAGCAGACAACATAGCGGGGGGCCCACCCCATCCAAACACTTACCACCCTTCACCGCCACAGCCCCCACTGCAGCCACCAAGAGAGTGAGGTAGGAGGGGACTGGGAGACCCAGGGAGGCCATGTAGAAGCACACAGCCCAGTCCAGACTTGGCACCCACCCAATCTCTCTGGTGACTGGCACTAGGGTAGTGGGCAGGAGCCCATCGAGGAACCGCATAAAAGGTATTGCTGTGCGGGCCCTCCCCTGCCGGCAGAGGGGTGCCACTGTCAGCTGGAAACGGACACAGGATCCAAAAAATTTCTTTTCTTATACTTCATGTTGGTTATTTTATATTTCTCATTCTCTTTTTGATGGAAAATAATTGTTGAAGTTGAAATTGTAAAGCCAACAAAAATTTATTTACAAAAAAATTCTTAATTTTAAAAAATATTTGTAAATACTTTCTTACTTACTTATTTAACTCTCAAGAATTAAAATGGCGGCACCCATAAAGGAGCCCTGAACCAACACAGGACACTTCCTGGGACTGCCACTTCAGCCCTGATTTCCTCTTCTTTTTTATTTTTTATTTCTCATTTTTTAAAATTAAATCGGGGGGGATCTCACAGATTTTTTTCCTCCCCCTGCCCTCCCATTATTATCATCACCTTAAAAAACCTTTTTATTCCACTTTATTGTTATTGCTATTGCTATTGCTATTTTCCCTTTCCCCCTTTTTTCTCTTTAAAGAGCACACACACATATATAAAATAAAACAAATAAGTAAATAATAATTTGTTTCCCTCTCAAAGGGGTTTTTTATATATAGTCATACCTCGGGTTACAGATGCTTCAGGTTGTGTTTTTTTGGGTTACGGACCGCCAAAACCTGGAAGTACTGGAATGGGTTACTTCCAGATTTCGGCGGTTGCACATGCGCAGAAGCACTAAATCGCACTTTGCGCATGTGCAGAAGTGCCGAACCGCAACCCACGCGTCCACTGTACTTTTAATTTTTACTTTTATTATTTTATTACACACATACGCACGCACACAAACACACACTTTCAGATATCACCACCTCAACTTCTTTAGTTTTTGTTTCAATTGATTTGGAGTGGGTGTTATGAGGCACCTGTAACTCTGCAAGTTCCTCAGAATGAAGTGGTTGAGTGGGCATTTATGGGGTAAGGCAATCTTGCATGCCTCTTTTGACTGATAATTTTAATATATTTTTGTAAACCACTTACAGGTTTGTGGTATATAAATTTTGTGAGATAAATGCCAGTGTGGTGTAGTGGTTAAGAGCGGTAGACTCATAATCTGGTTAACCGGGTTCGCGTCTCCGCTCCTCCACATGCAGCTGCTGGGTGACCTTGGGCCAGTCACACTTCTTTGAAGTCTCTCAGCCCCACTCACCTCACACAGTGTTTGTTGTGGGGGAGGAAGGGAAAGGAGAATGTTAGCCGCTTTGAGACTCCTTCGGGTAGTGATAAAGCGGGATATCAAATCCAAACTCTTCTTCTTCTACCTTCGAATCAGGCTGTCTCTCTGAATGATTCCTTGAATGATTCCATACATTGGCCCCTTCCAACCACTCTGCCTTGCTCCTATAACAGTT